GGCACGCGAAAATTCTCAGAGTTGCAGCAGCTGCTGCTCAGCTCAGACTGTTGGCATCCCCACAAGTGGCCCGGTGCTGACTTTCGAGGTCAACCGCCTCACGTCCTTTGAGCCATTAAAAAGGCACGATCGCAGACGAATCGAAATTCAACATGACGAGCTCCTGATATACAGCACGGGCTCACAATCCAGAATTAAATCTGCAGTGCAGCTACCCGAAGGGGTGGAGCGTGTGTTCCTCCTGTCCGACACTGTCCTCGAGGCTTGCTTCTCACTCGTTCCGGCGGATGCCGTACCGGGAGGTGGTGTGGTACGGCCCAAAGACTACATCTTCGAGTTTGCTACACCTGAGCAGGCAGACATCTTTTGCGAGGACTGTGTTGCGGACACGCTGAGTTTCCTTGCGATAGTGGGATGTAGTGATGCAGGACCCCCAAAAGACCGTCCTTTTTATCAGCCATACTTTGGGAGCAAGTTTGGGAGGCCACAACTCAGCTCAGAGAATTTGAGATGCTGATGTTGTAGGTCCTCACTTACTGTTCGCAACATGGTTGATGTCTTTGGACGGAAGTAGCAGCAGTATTTGAGGACAAACGATGGTTTCATGGACCGGGGCGTCGAAACATCCCTCCATGCAAAGCGGACCTAATCTGAGGCCCTCAAACCGAAACGCCAGAACGAGCCGTACAGGAGCTGTGGCATCGGGGAGTCAGATGAGCTGCTGCAGCGCATCCGTCAATGGTCGTTTCCCAACATCCGGATCCGTAGCTGCCCAAGCTAAGCTGCAGCCTTGTCATTGTCCCGATCCTTGTCGTAAGTTCGAAATTGCACCGGAATTTGGGAAACGTTCAGCAATGGTGCCGGCGACTGTACAGGTGCTCCGGGCTTTTGATGGCAGCTGTGTCTGTAGTTAGGATGGTTGTAGAGGGCTATTGAATGCATTTTTTGTTTTCCTGTGCAGGTATATCGCTGCGGTGCCATCGTGCGCGGACTACTGCTGCAGGGCCTTGAGAGAGTTTTGAGGTAGGTGTGTAGGATGTGCTGATCTGCAAAGGGGCCTTTGCAGTTTTGGAGCCTGCCTTGGGCGTAAGGTATCAGTAGGACTAGGATAACCCTTGAAGTCTGAGCAGGCCGGAGGAAGAGCTTGAAATTAGGGAGGTATTGTTTTGGTACGCCGGATGTTCGGTGTACGGAGGAGCAAGCGCTCGCGAGTAGCCTCAGACGTTTCATGTACAGTGCATGCTTTGCATTCGACCAGAGCTCAAGAGTCTCAAGAGGCGTTTATCAGAGCTTTGCTGAAAAGGTCCGGTGTTTTTAACTTGCACAATGCCGGTCGCATCCTGCCGGATCTGAACCGGCCCGGGTCATCTTTGGCTTCCATGGTGCGAGATGTCGGCTTAGCGGCTCCACTTGTAGTGTCTATGTCTCTTAGAGACCCTCGTCGTAGGATTTTTAGCGCTTCTTCCGGCTCCCAACTGCAGCTCGATGGGCGCCAGCTCGTGTGCCGAATTGGTCATGCCAACGGGGAAGGATGCCATCAGGCGGGGCTTGGAAACTCGTCAGACACAGCAGTGTATGAGATAGGCAATGGCATAGGGCACCTGCTAAGCTAGCCGCAGGGGCGGCAAGGGCGGCAAGGGTGGTCCCGTCAGGCCATGGGCCCTCGATGCGAGCTCCGACAGCGAAGTGGAAGGAGCAGAACTGCGCTTTTCGCCGTCCCCGTTGCCGGACCCTGCAATCATTAAGCATGTCACCGTGGAGCAGTACCTGGAGCTAGCCCAGCGCCTGCGGATCACAACCTCCGACCGAGACAGACTTGAGGGAGAGCTTCAAGCTGCGCGGCGGCAGCTTGAAAAGTCGAGCAGCGCCCACAGCGAGCTGACGAAGCATCATGCGAACGAATCCCACGATAGGAAGGAGGCAGAGGCGCAGCGGGATCAGCATGCCTCTAACTTGAGCAGGCTTCGCAAAAGCTTCGCTGTTGTCAGTGACAGCCAAGAGACACTGAAGGCAGAGTTGGCAAGTGTGAAGGCCAGCGAAAGTCGCCTGCAAAGCATGGTCGACCGGCACAAGGATCAATTTGCAAAGCTCCGAGCAGAACATGAGAAGCTTGTGAGCCTTATGGCCTTGCAGCGCAAGCAGATGCAAGTCTTAGGAACCTTGTCCTGCCCGCAATGTGCGCTAAAAGCGAGGGAGATCGGAGCAGTACGGGACTTCTTTCAAGAAGCCGGCCAAAGGTAAGCTGGCTTCTGCGCTGTCGTCGAAACATTCTGATGCGTTCTGCGTTCTGCAGTCAAAAGGCAGGGAGTTTCTGTTCCGCTCTCAGGCTGACTGCTGACTAGGGGGCTGTCTGATGCGAGCCTTCAAGCATCAACTCCGCAATCACGCAGCTCTTTGGATCGACAGTGCCCAGTTCCCCGCTGGATCGGGCAAAAGGCAAAAGCATGAAATCTAAGTATCCTAGACAAGACTGCTGCAATCCGCAAGCTCCCACCGTAACATGCCGCACCTTTGTCTTCCAAAGCATTTGCTGCCAGCCTCCTCCTCTTTCGAACGACGGTTGTTGTTTCGTAATGCCCACACCGACAGCGGTCTCGCCCGCGTCCTTTCGATGTCGACCAAGTCGCTGGCGCTCACGTCACCCGGAGCAAGTCTAATGGGGTTCGCGCGTCCTTTCGCAGAGTCTTTAGGCTCACCCGGCCGAAGACGCTGGAGCTCCGATCTGTGTGGCAGGATGAGTGCGGGCCCCGAAAAACCACGGAGAGTCGGTCGGGGTCGCGCTCCAGCCGCTGCCGCTGCCACTGAGGACTTTGCGAGCTGGACAGCTGCTGGTGCCCCACGACTCCCAGCAAAACCTATTGCTTGGATCAGACTCGGAGGTACAGGTGGAGTACAGCAGTGTCCAGCCCGGGGACGGGGACATGTTTGCTTGGGGCTCAGCATCAGACTTTGCAGGAGAGAACCCCCAAGCACTTTGGGTCTAACTAGATTCGGCAGCCCTTAGCATCGCTGCTCACCGCCCAGAACTGCAGCGGGCGGTTCACTGAGCTCGAGCTGCCACACATTCTCGGGGTCGAGGGTGCCGCTCGGCAGCATTGACGGATAGGCGTAGCGACGGGTGAAAGCTCTGTCTTGACCGGGTAACAGCATCAGTCTCGAGGCGAGTTGATTTCCACAGGGTTTGAGAGCTTCATGCATGGGGCTGCTGAAACAGCTTCAACGACCTCATTGCCTCAGGTCGGTGTGGTGCTAAAGTCTCGGTGTGAGACTTTTGGTGAGGGGGCCAGGACTCAAATGCTGAGAGCACTGAGCATGGGTAGGATCTGCCTGAAAGATGAAGTTTGGCACTCATTTGTCCCAGCCTGGACCGGCACTGCAGGGGGTGCTGGTCAGAATCCACCTCGCTGCTGTCTGTTTCCAATCTTAAACCAAGATCGGCATCTCCGGTTCAAGCACTGCCACTCAGGCATATGCAGTTGCGATTCATTCAAGTGTGGGCGACTCATGGCGACTCCTCAAGTTCATGAGTGTTTGGAAGTTCGGGTTTTGTTGTTTTTTGGGGCGATTTTTAGGTTCCAGAGTTTTGTGCGTGAGAGTCTTGCGAGTAGAGGGTTTTTACGGTTTCGGGTTTCTAGCGTAAGGCATGACTATAGGATTGTTCGTGTTCTTAGGGTCCGGTGGGTAAATCCAGTGCATTCGCGCTAAAAAACCCACATCGGCCTGCACAGATTTGGTCGAGAACCTCATTGACCTGACAAAAAGAGCCAGGAAGGATTTGTCATAGCTTTGAAGAGGATCGCCTTCATCTTGAAGAAGTTCTTCAGCGACGAGAGTCTGGAGCTCGGGCTGATGGCCACGCCTCACAGAAGCAATTTGCAATCTTCGGAGGCAGCTCAGTGCTGTTTGCTCGTCTTGAGCCTGCCATCGGTAGTTTCAGGTGCTGGTGATTTTTTCCGTGTTCCGCAGTACAGGCCATGGCTGCTGGCAGCGCCGGCTCATTCTGGATGAGCACCGGGCAATGATCCTGAGAGCGCCTGGAAGCACTTCAGCTCTGTTCGCCCTCTGGGCAGGTAGGATGTGAGGACTGTCGTGTGAGTCGTGACCGTGTAAGAGCCACTTCCATCAGGTGCCTGCTGTCGGGGCCACAGCTTTGTGAATCCCTTCACTGCCAATGCCGTCACGAAGAACGGAGCTGTGTTGTGGGTTGCATTGCAGCTCTTGAACCACGAAGCTGAAGAGCCATCCACGCACCTTTTACGGCTTGCATCAGAGCGCTCGCTGAGGTCGTTGGTCTAAATCAGGTTGCAGCTTGCACCACGTCCACTGTCGTCCTGGCACGGTTTGTCTACACTCTCAGGGTCTCATGGTATTGCTTTTCCTTTCAGTCAGTTTCACTGCGTTGTAGCTGCGGAGTTTAGTGGTCTAGTGCTTTCGTAAAACGGCCAGGCTGCCGCACTCGCCTTTCTCAAGTACTTCCCTCCCGCATCTCGAATTATCGTGTCTGCACCTCGGGGCATTGATTCACAGCCGAGTTCGCGAAAGTCTGTCGTAGCTGGCTTGAATCAGCTCCCACTGCTTTGGACGAAGCTCAACGGGTTAGGATCGCTTGCCGAAGCTTTCCGAGCACTGCTTTGCTTCTCGAAGCTCGGAACCGTCGTGTGCTACTTCGCTACGTTGAGGGCGCATGAAAGCGTGCTCGATGCGACCTGTGCAAGACGTGAGCTGCTTTTCCGACTCTCTCGTTCGAGACTGCACGCTACATCAGTCACATTAGACGACGGCTCGACGACCAAGGCAGCCATCCCACGACTCAAATCTCAAATCCGCAGCCTCTCTTCACCGAGGACGGCGGCCTGCGGCGCTGTGGGCCTCGCCACGATGCAGCTGGGAGCTCTCCGTGGCCATCAGGCAGGCTTTGTCAAACCCACTCGGAAAAGGGAGGAATTAGGCTTGTGGGGGAGGATCAGGTAGTATGTTCGACTTGATCTTGTGCCCGGCAGATGATTGGACTGGTGCGTGGCCCTGAACGGGCTGCCTGGATTGCCAAGGAGCTGAGCTGCTTTGCTCCGACCCCGATCTTCTGGCGTTTTCCTGTTCCACGATGTGACAGGAGCTCGTGGGGTGTGGTTCCATCACAGCTCGGCCCGCAGCAATTTCTGATGTGTTGCCAAGCTTATGCCAACAGGGGTGGGGAACCTAGGTGGTCGACACCGAGTCACCGGGATGGATCAGGTGGGGCCGGGCGACTGGCAGAGATGGAGTCTTTTTGCCGCATTTGCGAGGCTCGCCTGTCCCTTGACCGGCAAGGGCGAATTGGTCGCGCCTAGCCCAGAGTCTTGGCAGCGGAGAGCACCGGCTCTGGCCTGCGACCCTGGCCCAGACTCGCGAAGGACGCAGACGCCGGTGCTGGTGCCGACGGGCTCATCGATGGGGTTGGTGGCGAAGTGCGAAGACCTCAGCCTCTGCCCAGCCTGGGCCGGCATGGAAGCTGTGCCTCGATGTTCTAAGCGGTTCGCCCAGGCTGACTTTGGCCATGGAGGAGCATGGCGCGCATTTCTTCCCATTCTGACTGCAAGTTCAAACCTGTACCGTGTAGGGCCGAGAACACTGTAGGTTTTGTCCCCTCGTGAGGAATTTCATGAAAATGAAGCCGGGTTTCTCCCATCGACTCAGAGAGAGCGTCAACTTGCGAGGTGCGTCAACTTCGAATCCGCTTGCAGAATCGTGCAATCGCCCTTTGAAGCACTGAAGCTGGCAAAGCTGGGTAGGCTTGCTTAGGCTAAGCCTCACCAGAAGAGTTTTCCGTAAGTCTCTACGTGGCTGAGAGCGGAGCAAGCCAAGTATGTCGCACCAAGCTCTTGCGTAAGTAGAGCTCAGCAAAGCATTCCTGCGAGGAACTTCTCCGGGTGCGGGCCATCGTCGTTCGGTGCTCCCGGAGATGTTTTTGCCGTTGGGGACTTGCATGTCTTCGCCCCGATGCTTTTTCTTCGATTGGTTTCCAAGAAGAAGTGGCGACACTTGTGTCTCAGAATGGAGAGTTTGTTAACTTACAAAACCGCGAGATTCTCGAGATGTTGAGAGTGAAGTGTTGTCTCTTACAGTAACAATTTTGTCTAAGTCTGTCTGGGCCGGCGGACCCAATGCCGGCCACAGCAAACGAAGCAGGCCCGATCATACACTTTGCAGCATCTTGGTCATGCCAAGGGGATGGCCCGAGACGATTCCGATGTCGACATGGCATGTTTTTCCCCGGCCCGGGCTAAACAGGGCCTGCCTGTGTTAAAACCCCACTTGTCTGCACCTATGATGTCAGCAATTTTGCGTATACGCTGCACGTCCGCAGCCTTTGAAATATTCAGTCATGCACCACGAGAAGCATCGGGATGCAACAGCCTTTGTTGTGTTGATGGTCTTCTTCACCCTAAGTCTGGCCAAAGATTAACAGGGAGATCGTTTAGGACTCAGTCGCAGTGGACGGGAAAGCATCCTTCAGGAAGGCTGGCAGATCCTAAAGCTAGTAGTGGCCACTTATGGTTGAGCAGCTGGGAAAATCGAGAATCGAGAAAATCGAGGGCACGCTGTCATTGTGCATGCGATCCAGTTGCTAGTCAGCTGATCGTCCAAGTGTTGATGGCAAGCTTGCTCACGTGACTGCGGAAATGTTTGACCCGCTGAAGCACGACAAGTGAAGTACATGATCTCAGTACGCAGAACCGTTCAAATTCTCGAGAGCCTGCGGGTGCAGTTTGTGACGAAGAGGTACAGCACTGTTGTGGAGGAGGATGCGGCGCGAGTGGATGCCGCACAGCAGAAGCATCGGCTTCTGGTGCCTTGTTTGCATGGGCGATTCCCAGGCGCACGGCGTAATTTGTTCAATCCTGCACGACGCACAGGTGAAGTACGGCAGCGTCGAGGATTTTATGGCCTCCCTTGATGCGACCCAGCAAGTTGAGGCTGTGTCCTTTGAAAAACACACGCTAAGAAACGGTACACGTGCACGGTATTCCGAGCCGGTGCCTGTGCGGCAAGATGTCCTCTAGCCCAGACTTTGCCGCCGACCCAGCGAAGTTTCACCGAGATGTGTCGGAACGCTGCAGGCGGCTTTTGCTCTCATCGCGGATGCGAGGCCACGATGCTGAGGGCTTGAAACCGTGTAGAGCATCTCGGGAAGGTATCGGCCGAAGGCCTGGCACGTGGCCAGCGTGAAGGAGGTGGTGGAATGCATGAAGGAGCCGAACCCGAGCCCACACGTTCAGGCTTTCACTGACTCAGGCTGCAGTCCTTTCACGGTGCCTCACAGGACCAGCCAATTTGGACGCGCCATGCGCGGGAGGCCCCAGAGACCAAGCGCTAAAAGACCAGTGCTCTGGAAATGCTCTGAGCGATTTCCTCGAAAGCATCATCTTGTGTTTTCGTCTCTGCTCTCTGCGCCTCCAAGGACGCAGGTCAAGCCTGGCCGAATTGGTCGGATCATATGGAAGTTCGAGTGACAGCTCCCTCCCAGGTGAGCGGGATCAGTGTGAGGACTGCGTGGCCCAAGGCCACGTGGCGAGGAAGGCTGTGGCTCCTGTGCTGAAACGTGGCACAGATCACAGATCTATCCCCAACTGCACTGCATGCGATCAAAAGGCCGTGCCTTGCCCGCAGGGGCTGCAGACATTACGACAGCATGAGACTGTTGGAGATGATGTGCGATGTCTGTGCCGGAGACGTTGTTTCAAGTTGTGTGAACAGGACAGCATGTGGTAAGGAAAGAGGCTCTCGTTAGATGATCAAAGAGTGTGCATGGATGCTTGCCAACCATTGCAGCAGCCTTTGCATTGATCATGGTAAGCAGCCGCAGGACCTGCAAGGACTGGTAGAATGGCTCACTGGCGGCTTGTCTCCCGCGGCGGCCCAGGGAGATCATGTACGCCCGCGCCAAGCTGCCGGCTTTTTCTGCGTGGGAGGCAAGCACCTAGAGAAACTGCCCTGAACCTAAATTCCCTGAGCCCGAGGGTGGGCCTTGTCGTGGACCGCCCAAGGCTTCAGAGAGACTCACACACTCCTGCAGGCCGTGCTGTCTGGTGCCCAGGCACGGTTGCTCCAATCCTTTCTGCCTGGCACTTGTGTCAGAGTCTTTGAGAGGGAAGTCGCACATAGTTTCTAGGCATCTTGACGCCGTTCTCGTAAACTCGGAGTGGGGCTGCTGTGATGTGTGGCATCTCGTGAGCAGAGATTTGCATGGGAGCGTGTGCTGACTTTGTCATATACCTCTGAGAGTTGAGGATACGACTGCCTCGTCGGAAGCATTCCTCCAAAGATGGGGAGCGTTTGCTACAGTCTAATCGCTTCCGGGTGCGAGGTCTCCGGGCTCCGTCCTGGGGGTGTTTCGCTAATTACGAATTACGACCCTGTGCTGGATTCAAGTCTCATCTCACGGCCATCCCCTTCTCTGGACCAGGGGAGCAGAATGGCCTCGGCGGCACTCAGCGTTTTCGGCTTCGGCCGCAACCCGTGGAGACCCGAGCTTGATACTGTCCTCACGTAAGAAGATCCTCCAAGTGCAACAAAGTCTGATGACTGCTGAGGTCCTTCTGGATGGGAGCGTTTGAAGAGGTCCATAGCACGAGGGGATGTTCTCTGCTAGATTGCACTGGGAAGCACGTGCATCCGTGGCGAAAGTGCCGAATCGCAGTTGCAAGTCTCAGATTCATAAACCGCAGCCGCAAATAGCTGCAGCAGCTGCAGGCCAACACACTTCTTGATCGATACGCGCAGCAGGTCTTCTGGCTTCACGCCACCAGGTCTCCGCTGAAAGCTTTTAGTCTCGGTGGATGACGGTTTGCTGCCTTGGAGATTGGAAGCGGGCATCTGGCGAGGTGCCAGGCCACAGTTTTTGGTGGTATTTGAGGGCCATCGGATCACACAGGGCCACGACTCCGTAGAAGACATGTGAAGTGAGTTCTGCCCAGACATATGGCCTTTTCTGGGCTAGGCTCGGCCACACTGATGCGAGCGTGCGCACCTTCGGGCGGACGGCAGGTGCGGAATACTGGGTGCAGCGAAGGCCGGAGTTGCAAGGAGTGTATTCATAGTTTCAATCGGTATAGTCATAGTGAGCGACAGCGGGATGGCAGCACAACACGGCACCGACACAGGTTTAGACTGAAGTATGCGGTATTACTTGCAAAGTCAACCAGAAGTCGCAACGAAGACCAAGTCGAAGCAAGGAGTGTACTGCATGCTGTAGCCTGGCTTTGGCCCGTTCTTTCCAGTAGAGCAGACCCAAGCGAAGCGTGTCTGAAGCAGAACTATCATCTCCCTTGAGCTGCGAACGAAAGCACTGGTGCCGATCGATGACATACCCACGGTGCACCTGCGCAGGGGCCCTGAGCAGCCTCCGCACGAGCGAGGGATGGATTGGCACTTTGACAAGGACGGCCGCCGAGATCCTGAACAATCACGAAGCCTTCTTGAGAGTCGACCGAAGCGCTTTTGGGCATGTATCGTCAGAAGTACAAGTGCAGTGCCTGCGTGGATTCAATCGCTAGACTGAAGCCATCTAGAGCCAATGGATCTGGCCTGAGCCTCATGACAAATCCAGGACGAGGACTTGCTCGACCAAAAGGATGTCGTGGTAATGCCGACGGTTGGAACTGTGACCTACTTGAGTAGTGTCGGCGCACCACTTGTCGTCACTGCCTCAGATGCCTCTGGTGCCTGCTGATCCAGTTGCAAAGCCAGCGCTGGACATGTATTAGCGGAGCATGCAAGGTCCTGTCGCAGCCGATGCTAGATGGACGAGGTTTCCTGTTGCCAATTTCGGCCAGTGAGGCAGGGAATGGCCGCATCTTTTCTGTTGTCAACAGGATGTGGTGAAACCACGGTGGGAGTGGCATCTTCCATGTCGCCCTGCACTTCTCCCTCAGGTCACTGTGTTCCTCACCCGTCCAGTCTTCGGCAGGCACGCGGCTCGGCGGCAGTGTGTGCAAACATCGCTGAACAAGTCCAAGTGCAATGCTGGAGGTGGCCTTCGATGGTCAACTGCTTCACGGATGCCCAGTGGCTCTTGCTGAAGCGGGTGAGAGGCTGTTCGGTCCGGACTGGGAATGCATCTTGCGTCCGGAATTTGCAATAGCTCGCAGTTATGGCCGCCTCACGAAGTGGTAACTGGTGCACACATTCTCATGCGTGGATCCTGCATGCGCCGGCCCTAATCCCAAAATCCCGGCTCTCTGCGCAGACTGTCTCTGGTCGTGAATATCTGGTTTGAGCACAAACCGCTCGGAGTGTTGACCTCAGGCGTTCAAGGGTTGCTGCTTCCGGGCTTTGGACCGGCTGTGGAGTGAGCTGCACGGCATCGCGACATGCATGCGGAATCGCATGCCGCATGCATCCGCATGCCTGCTCACCAGGTATCCACAACAAGCCCAGGAAGCTCGAATTCCAAGCTGCCAGCCGAGGCCGAGGCACGACCTCCGCGTCTCGTCTCGACATGTTGTGGTGTGTTCTTCCGTATCAGCATCAGGAGTTCTTTTCGACAGCTACACCTCTGAGACCGATCAACCAAGAGGCCGGTATGCAAAGGCTCCGGACGTTGTTGGAATCGTTAAAGGTCCGATGGGATGCGGAGGTATGCAGTAAGAAGCCTTCGCCTGAGGATGGCCGTAGGCCTCGTTCCGATGCACATCCCCGAGTCCGCAAACCAAATTGGCCGAAATCGGAAGGCCCCAAAGTGAATCCGACCATGAGACCCAACCCGCAAAGCCTTCTTCACTCCAGCCCTACAGCCACATGGATTTGGCCTTCCAAGCCAGCCCTACGGCCCAATCAACGATGCCTGGACACTTCCATTTCAATACGTGGCGCAAGGTAATGCGTACTATTATACTGTTAGCGACGCAGCTCAAATTCGCAACATGCAATGCATAGTTATTACAGCATACAGTGTTCAATCTCAGTTCATACGGTCAAAGCCGGGCTATGTCACGATACAGAACTGGTCCGGCAGGACATTATAGCAAAACACACAGCACGAAAAAGCTTCAGCACAAAGCCATAGCATCCGGAGCATGTTGATGTGCAGACAGTGGCGGAGACAGCAGTGCAGCGGCATGTGCTGCGACACAGTTGAAGACTACCTAAAATGATGCAGCTCGAGATAGACAAATCCAAGTTGAACGGTTTGTTCAACCTGATACTTAAACAAAGCAACATCACTGTATTCGCAGCGAATTTCAGTGGGTAATAAGTATCCTCCGTGGAGCACCGAGACTGGAGTCTGGCACCCAGGGTCGGTTCTGCATCTGTCTTCGGAGGGTGATTAATCGCCTTGTGCCCAAACACATACTCATACTATGTGCACGTGTTTTGTAGCTCAAGCAAGCGTTATACTAAAGCCAGTGTACGTGCTACTCATGATAGTGCTGGTGCTAATGCTCATACTGATACGAGTAGCAGGAATGAAGCAACGGCACAGACGACTAGCAAACAGCGCAGCGCATGCAGGGAGCTTGTGCAGGTGCCTCGATCTGGCAAGCAACTCACAGTCGACTTTGGACCTTGGCGCGTGCTTCAACTTAGCTTGACATTGGCTTCGGAATTTCTGATCGACCCTTCATGTGCGGATGCATTTTCTTTGAGCTTTTGCTGCAAGCATCCTGGTTCAGCTGTAGCATGAGACGAGTGACAATCATCCGTGAAGGTTCAATTGAAAAAGGGGTCGACTGTGGGTGATGCGGACAGGTCCCAGGGCTCTTACTCCCGCATCTGAGACTTTATTCCAAGTTGTAACTCTAGTTTGTGTTCATGGGTACAAACTGTCGGTTGCCGAGCCTTCGGTCCCGCGCAGCTCAGATCGGTGGCTTGCGGATACCCCCGGCGGATGTCCGGGTGCCTTGGATCTGGGACCCTCATTCAGTGTGAAACTCTGGTTGTCATGAGACTGCAGTAGTGTGAAGTAGCGCATCTAACGTAACGCAGCAACCTCAAAGTGCGGCCACAGCTCTCTTCGGCGGACAACCCATATTAACCCCCAACGCCCTAAGCTTGAGAAAAGCTTTCACCTTCAGGCACCAGAGGGCTCAGGCCTTTGGGCCATCCACCATCCTGTGGATCAGGCGCCCTCGCAAGTGTGCCATGGACAAACAATTCCGTTGCTCGGAAGCTGCAGTGTCGCGATGTTTGAAGAATGTTCGCCTTTCCAGGTTGTTCCCAGACCCCGCAGGTCCACATCGGCTTGCCTGTGACGAGCGGAACAAGGCCAGGCCGCAGGATATGGGTTAGTTGGCCTAATTCAGGGGCGCCGCAAACCTTTCCGGGTTCGTAGGCCCCACCACGCTTGGGCGGTCTGGGACCGGGTAGCTCACCTGCTCGTACTGCGGAACCACCCTTGATTCGATGCAAACCGACCCGGCACTTCTATGTTTTTCTCGGTTGTAGCCTACCCAATGCTGGAGGCCAAGCCTTGCCCTGCCAGTTTCCACAAGGACTTAGAGGATTTCAACGTCCAAGTGGCAGAGATCGGACCCCTCTACGGAGTCTCAGTAGGTGGCTCGTTCCGCAGGCCGCGCAGAAGTCTCGGTGCCAAGCGAGAAAGGCTGGATGTGAAGCAGTTTCGGAGATCATGTCCTCCTTGAGAAGACATGTGGGATGTGGGGGCATCATCGTGACGAGGGTGAGAATTGCACGGCTTTCGTCTGCTCTGTGTGCATCTGAACTGCCTGTGGCACTGCGTGGCCAGCGACGCCGGGCTTTCCCTGCGACCACAAAGCCAACACGCTTGATCGAAGGCCGCGCTTTCGCTGATCCGGACTGCCGCCATCTCAGCGATTGAACTGGAACGATGATGAACTTGGTTTTGTTTTGTGGCTTCGGGGTGGTCTGCCCTTCCACGTGCAGGGATAGCAGCAACTTGCGGAAGTCGTCTGACAGATGACCGCTCTTGATTTGGTTTTGGGTTCTCTCAGGTTAGCAGATTAGCAGGCGAGTCCTGGGGTGCAGCGGAATGGGGCCGCAAAGCTGTGGGTAAACGAAGTTGCGGGAGTGAGAGGTTGAGTCTACAGAGTTTACCCGCTTGCTTGGACCTCTATGTTAATATTAATTGAAGCCAGTTTTTTCTCGAGAGTCCGAAGAAGGGGCACCCCGACTCCGGTTTGGGAGTCGAGGCGATGGTCTGGTACAGCTACGGTAATGCCCTGAACGCTTTATCTTTGGCCATCTCGAGCCTGGCATACAACCGTGACACTTTTGCGGATTCCGTGGCGATGCAGCAGAATCAGATGTACCAGGAGAAAAACTACCATATTACCTGGATTGCATCTGTTCGTGAGGAGATGCGTGACTTTTTGACCATCTTCGTGGGGAAGCTACAAAACACAGGCGTGCTCAACACTCTACTCTTCGGAATCTCGACGGCATTCCTTTGTGAGGGTGAGCTGGACAGCGAAGCTCCGGAATCGTTGGTGTATGCATACTACGGCTCCCTCATTGTCAGCATGCTGTATTTCGGCTGTTCCATCCTCTTCTGCTTCATTGGAGTTTCAAGCGCGTATGCTGAGAGTAAAAAGTTTCTGCTCAAGTTTGTGCCGGACGTTCACGATGCGTACAACTTCGACTACATCTCTCAGCTTCTCGAATGGGAAGGCAAGGGTGAGGCATTTCGCGTGCCTTTCGCCATGGAATCAAGCCGTCTTGCAGAGAAGAAGGAGCGTCAGAGGCGCGCGACAGAAGCCACACACAAGGATGCAGACCCTGATGACTTCTATGAGCGCTTCGATGGCATGATGAGAGACTTCAATCAGCCGACTAAGTTGGACTACCTCCACAAGGGCGGGACCAACACGCGCTTCTGGGGTGTCAGCCCTACGAGCGCTGAGTGCGACGAAGAGGTGGCAATGCATGAAAACAGTTTTTACGAGGTCATCGGAAGATACAACTTGCTTTGGGAGCCCTGTTCTCTAGCGAGCCATGATTCCATGATGCTGGGAGTTTTCGCGCTGTGCCAAAGCTTCGCATACTTTTTGATTGGACGTCATATGGACCGTTCGCTTCAGGACCGACTGGGAATGTATACTACCATGACGATAGCGGGTCTGGCTTTCGCGGGGCGACTCTCACGGCTTCTGACAGTGCAGTCGGAGCAGTCTAAGCTTGAGGTCCAGAACCGAGAAGAGAAGCACGAAGACTGCCTCGATCGAGCATACAAACTGAAGCACTGGGTTCTCAAGCTGCTAATGTTACTGGGGCCGGCGATGGTGACCAGTGGCGTCTTTTTGCGTGATGAGACGTTGTTGCTTGCAGGCTATGTCTTCCACGGAGCTCTGCATGGCTACTTGGCCTTTTTTCTTGTCCGATCTTTCCCAAGCCTGCCGAAGCAGAAGGGCCTGCCACCGCCGCGGGAGGAGAAGCTGCGGCGCTTAGCCGGCAAGGGATATGGAAGCAGGAAAGCCGAGAGTGAGCCCGGGCTGGAGGCACGGGAGTCACCAGAGCCGGTGCTTCGCCAGCTCCTCTTCGAGAGTGAGAAGAAGTCTGTACGGACCACGATTTTCATGAAGAGACTCTTGCTTAAGAGCCACATCATGGCTTGCCTGCCCTGGGCTTGGCTGACAGTGGGAGCCTTGCAGGCTATGGCAGTTGAGGCTGGCAATGGTCCGGAGGTCAGTGTTATGGAGGTGAACGTCACCTGGGCATCGCACGCCTTCTTCAGCGCCCGTTCGATGACGTGCTCGCAAAGTGGCGAGGTCTGGATTGCCAGCGACGACGGCGTGTTTGCGATTGCACGTGGGGCAGACGGCGGTGGTGTGGAAAGTATCGATTGTCCAGCTTTGCCGCTTGATGAGAACGTGAAGGATATGTCCGCCTTGTGCTCGGAATCAAGCTGTTGGCCTGTAGTGCTTGGGGCGAGTGGCAGGCTCTACAGCTGCAATCCCAACTCAGACGGAGTCATGAATCCGTTCAAAGAGCTGTCGGGAATCTCCGGTTTTGCTTTGGCCGCAGGTGAGGGTTTCTACGTTCGGAAGAATAATGGTGTCCTGCACTTTCCGAGCCGAAAGTCTGTGGCTCGTCCACTGTCGGGTCTGATTGGCTTCGACGTTCTTCCCAATGCTGGAGGGGAGGACTTGTTCCTCTTCTCAGTAGACAAAGCAGCAAGCATACGACTGAGGAGTTCAGCAAATGGTGAGCTGCAGAAGTGGGCATTGCCTGCCCAACTACCCCCTTTGCGTGCAGCTTGTGCCCTCACCCCAACCACGGTGCTGGCAGCAATGCAGGATCCAAGTTCGGAAGACCATCCGCGGTTATTTCGCCTCCGTTTAGACTAGGAGAATGGCCTTTTTGCACTTTTCAGACTAGGACAAGGCTCCGAGAACCCAATCCATCCTGTACTGCACATTGAACAGATTATCCATTGTGTCTCGCTGAGCGAGGCAGAAGTTGTCGGAGCCTTGTGGGAGCTTTTGCTGAGGCTTGACGTCGATTGGCCTTGATTCTGAAGTCTCAAGTCTCGTTATAAAGTCTTGTCAGGCATTGCTGAGAGTCAGCCACGGATTCGCTCGCAAACGCGCAGACGGAAAAAGTCAATGTGAAGAGCCACACCAAAGCATTGCTGCACAGCTTCCGACGGAAACATGTTTGGAGCTCAGCTAGCCAATACTCTGCATGTCAAGAGTGCTTGCTCAGCGAATTCTGCCTCAGGTTTTAGAGGTGACCTGGGATGCTCGTTGGGAACCGACTGTTGACAGGATACTCGTAGCATTGGTCACACAGAACGTTTTCCTGACATGATATGAAGCGCAGGTAAGTCCTTGCAGAAAACACCTGCACCACGACAAAAGAATACTGGTTCAAACAAGCTCAACAAAGTATTGCTCGTGGGATATGTGATATTTTTCTCTCAATCGTTTGTCTTGGGATGGTTTTATTTTGTTATTGGCTCCGTCTATCCTGAGTGTAGTAAAAGTTTTTCAGCACATTACTAAGAGTTTTTTTTCGGAGTTGCATGTTGGATCCTGCATTCGTGTTGAAATTTGTGGATGAGCCTGGTTTGGAGTTGGTTGCCAATCGTCAGCGGAGCTTGTTCTGACTCTGAGTTTGTATTATTCTGGAAGCACGCCTGTGAGTGGGAATGCCGGCACGTCAATACTAGCATGAACATCCCTGTTGTTGGCATCTGGAACCTGGAGCCCAGGTACAATTTGAGCAGAAGCCAGCCGGACCGCAATCGAGCTCGCCACAGCCAGAACTCCAAGAGGGAAGCAAGTTGCTGCGTCCGACAGAGTGATGCAGTGACAAGTCTCGAAAGTTTCAGATCTCTGCGACCTGGTGAACGCTTCGCTGCATCATCTCAAAGTTCCTGGCCTATAGACACGAACCCAAATGCCCGGCTCAGCTGTAGACGCACGCACCCCCCCCCCCCCCCCCCCCCCCCCCCCCCCCCCCACACACACACACACACACATACGCACCCAAACACACGCAACCTCCGATGTCTACAGTCTAGATTGCCCAAGTGCAGCCTTCTGTGAAGCCTCTAGTCGATGCCCGGACGGCGTGGATCCCATCCAAGCTGATGCGTTGAGAGGCCAGATCGGCTGCCAGCCCGAGGTGCCATGTCGTCAAACAGAACTCCATTCATGTGCCGGCCTTCGTCAAAGCTACATCCAATGTCATGTGCCGCTGGCAGGCCGAATTTTCCTTTTTGCCTTTGGCGTCAAGATGGCCGGGCTTGCAAAAGGGAGGGTATCTCGTGGTTGCCCTTGCGCCACAGGCTCTCCATGACTCTTCAATGTTGCTGGGAACTACACTACTAAGACTCCACAAGTCTCTTTATAGCCCAGCCCCACCGGCTACAACCTAGAGATTCGAGGTGTTCATGTATATAACTGTGTAACTGAACAGCCAGTTTCGCCTTGTTGGGTGCGTGAGAGGCGGAGTTTTGTCATCAGAAGCTTGTAGTCCGGAGCTTGCGGTGTGCTTTGGGCAGGCGCCGAAGGCACACCACTGCCTGGACTGGCTTTCCGAAGCGACGGCCAGGCGTCCCAACATGTCATAGCTGCGTGGTCTTTCACGGTTACCTACAGCGCTTGGGAGCACCGGCTTGGAGGAGCCCAGGAGGGAGCTGCACGTTTTGCTTGACGACTTTACGAGCCCCACGGTTCCTGCTTGCTGCCTATCAGGAACCAGCTGAACCAGTGCAGTGCCATGCTGTGCGCCATTACTTAAATTTGACGAAGCAAAATGCCTCCGATCTTAATCCTCCATCTCTCCATTTCACATTGCACCCTCTTCGATCGCTTGAATGCGGACACCGGAAATCTTTCATTGAGATGGTGAAGCATCAGGCAAATCAGTTCTTTCCCTGCACGGATCGGCTCCCTGGTGAAGTTTCAACACGCGCATTGCAGTCTGGTGCTTGTACGACAAGACGACGAGGAGTTGGAAGAGCTGCGCGAGGCGCCGAGGGATGCTGCCATTTTTTTTGGGACCGTGCTGAAAGCAAGCGACATTTCGGCTTCTGCAGAGGACTTGCTAAAACGACGCGACACTGCCATCGTTGCTTGTGCCGTGGAGATCTTGGTCTCAGCCGTCGCCCTACGTGCACACAGAATCTGGTTCGGACTGCCCAAACGGTGTGGTGCTCTGTGTGCTACGAGGTGGCCAGCATGGCATTGTACGACATCAGGAGGAGCATCATTGTTCCAATCGCCAACAGCGCCTGAAGCCTGAGAGGGCTCCAGCTTCGCAGAGCCTCACAGCTCGAAGCCCAGGTCCTGGCCGTCCTGGCAAGCTATGGCCTCGTTGGGGCCCTGGCGCTCCAGCTGCCAAAGATCCAGGCGACTGCAGGGATGCTGCCAGCGGAAAGGATAGGGAACCCATGTGGGGACGGTGGGGAGGAAGGCATGTCACATGTGCAGTTACATCTTACATCCACACCTCCAGGTATGTCGATTCTTGCTTGATTTCGGGATTTAGAAGTGTGTCCAGTACCCGGTTGTCGAAAGCATGCCAGTGTTTGGCTGCGCTGTCCGTACCAGTTAATGGACTTGCGAAAGATTCCGTTCCGTTGGGGCTCGTTCGCTTGCTCGCGAGGTCTAAATAACTGCAGGCATGAGGCTACTTGCCGGGATGTGCTTTTCCTGCCTTGGAGGTCCATGGTGTAGTCACAACCGGCTTGCTCATCGCCTGCTTGGTGAACTTCCTCTGTGAGGCCCTTTGAGCAGCTCGATTCCCGGGCGAAGTTTTCAGCGGTCCAGAGACTTTCGGAAGGCACTTCTTACCCATGCTGGCCTTGGCACGGACACCCTGCCGGGATGGCTGGTGCTCCTGTTTCTCTTTGCCCGGAACCCAGGGGCGTCGGTCTGCCCGGCCGCTTCAGCCCTCGTGTGCATTGCCAAAACCATCTAGTCACATCTTACTACTTACGAACTCCGACCTTGAGACACCCACCTGTAACCCATCGTGGGCAGCTTGCATGATCATTCGAAGCAAAGCCATTTCCACGAGAAGGGAGCCTCCCAAAACATGAACTCGCAGGTCCCATACAGCATCAACCTGGCATGCTCCATTTTGAGCCTGATGCTGGGTCCGGGGCTCACGAAGAGGTGCATGGATTGAACAAAGGGTTTCAGGTGCGTTGGCAGCTGTGCTGTGCTCTGAAAGCTGAGCAGTTTTCAGAGGCATGGTCCGTGCCGGGTTAGCCAGACGGTATTCTGTGAGTGTGATCGGGCAATACAGATAGATATACCCAGGCCATGCATGACAGACATGAAGAGCGAAACCTGTTTCATGACGCCACTATTATTCCCGTGGGTGCTCGAAAAGCACACAACTTCTTCACATCGCAATGTGCTTGAAGAATGACTCTTGCGCAGCGATTCAGTGTGGCTGCTCTGGAGTATGAAGCATGGACTATGGTAAGTTTACGTAATGTTATCATGGTGTACTCGTCCTTGAATCGTCCGCACGACGGTAAAACTTGGTTAGCCTTTCCAGTGGCCCAGCTCTCGATCTAGAGTCCCAGGCCAGCGGCTGTCAGAGTTTCTCGACCTCGAGGCGGAAGATGGCTTTTTAGACGAAGCATTTCCGGAGCCTAGTAGTCCTCCCGGATTCTTAACGCGACGTCAAACTCTCAGACGGCCATCTTCCTACTATTGCGTATGGCTAGCAACAGCTGCAGGATGACAAAAGCGGGCTCCTCAGTGACGCCGGCCAGGGGCTCAGAAACTGCATTGCAGCGCATAGCGGCAGAGCGCTTTATCTAGAGATCCTGAGGCCTTGCTGAACAGGCACAACTGGTAGCCGGTGAGGACAGAGGGCGGCTGCGTCGTACCAATGCCTCCTCCGCAAAAGTCCTTTCTGTGAAGTCTCCCGCCACGGCAGGAACGTTGCTGCGCCTGTATGGAGCGCAGAAAGGACCATAGCCATGGCCGTCCATTTGCAGAAGCAGCCCATCGACTTTGGTATGCTCTGTCATCACAGCAAGTACTTGTTGTTGGTTCCATATTCGCCCTTTGCAAGATTGATGTCGATACATGTTCTTCGGGTCTTTCAACATGTAGTCCCAATGACCGCTTTGACGCTTTGCACTCTGAAGTTCGTTGCCTGGCGGAGCGCACCAGGATGCAGTCATAACTCCGTGCGGCCACCGAGCAGTTTGCATGAGCTGTGCGACGATCTTGAAGGCCACGCTTTGGGGAGGGACGGGAGGACATCACGTTTACATGCCGCCAGCAGGGCACTTTAGCACACTCCGCATCCGAGGCTTTAGATCATGTTCCTGTTACATGCGAACAGGCGCGAGGCCGCAAGTGCTCAGGGCTTAGCATGCTGCTCAAGGATATGATGCCCTCTGAAGGCAATTCACGTTTATTCACACCATCCTGACCTCGGCTCTTGCGTTCAGGGATGCTGGCTCACTAGGACCAGTCATCTCATGCAAAGCTCCCATCTTCATGTCAATTACTTTACTGTGAATAAATAAATCTACGGTTCGCCAATCTTCACGTGGGTATGGAGTTCCTCTGCTTCGGGAGGTTTCATGCCATCCCGAATGTGACTGCACGCCGCTGCTTTTAAGTGGCCTGTGTAGGACTCGTGCGCATGCTTTGCAAGCTTGCCGAGGTCCGATTTGTCGCCAGACCATTGATCAGGTGATCCGAGTCCGAGCCCCTAAAGTTTGTCATGCTGCCTTCCTCGCCTGAGCTGCCCCAACGCCATCGAATCGAACTTGCATCCCAGCGAAGTGCTTGAGCACCCGAGGTCTTTGATTCCTGACTCGGGGCACTGATGGCCACTACAGGAGCAGCTCTGGCAACATTGCAGGCTGCAGCTGCCCGGCGGCTCGCTGACAGATGGCAAAAAGCAGATGATGCAGTCCCTTTCTGATGTTCCTGTTCCGAATCGAAGATCTGGAAAGTTGTGTGGCGCAACAAGTGCATGGCTCCGTGTGCAGCATCTAGTACTACGTGGACATAGTGCCAGGCAGGTCCAGTCCTTGACCCGGGTCACAGCCTTGCAGGAATCCAACAGACACCCGCTGCCATCGCAGAGACATGTCCGGCACATGGAAACTTGCAGAGAAACATGCGGCACACACGTCACGCATTGGCCGTGGTCGTGGTGCCGGTTGAGGCTAGTAGGAGACTGCAGGACTGACGTCGCAACAGCAAGGGCTTGTGGCGATTTGGACGTTTTCTGTGCAGCTTTACGACTGCCTGTGGCCGCGGAGGCTTGAAATCAGAAGCTAGCCAAGAAGTGTGAGCCGAGCACCTTCAAGCAAAGCTTGCCCATGTTCTCGTGATCATTCTCAGCAGTCCTCAGAAGCAGTGAAACCCGCAGCTGCCAGCATGCGTCGGCCCATGGATGGCACTGATAGAGATCGATCCAGCTCCAGAGGTGCGCCCCGCACCCGAATCAAGGAATCAAGCGCAAAGCTTTCAACTGGCAGAGCAGCGAGGAAAAGGCACCATCGCTCTTAACGCACAGCGAATGGGTACACAGCGAGGTGGATAACGCCATAATCAGAACGAGCAGAGCGAGATAGACGCATGTTGGATGGGTTGCGAGACTTTGCGGAGCACGTGGGCTGTTGCTGCTGGACTGCACAGACTCGCGGGGGCGGGGGGGGTCCCCCTATCCCCTGTCCTCACCTGCAGAAAGAAAGAGAGCCAGCCGAACTGGCTCGGGGGTAATTAATTCTACCCTTTAACGGCAGTCACTTTGACAGATGGTGAAGCCTTCATGGCAGGTGCGATCAGGACCGACATGGTAAGCCCAAGTCCAACGACGAAGCATCGACAACCGTGCGAGTCCCAGTGCAGCCAGTTCCATGACATGCCTGCGTTTCGGCTGGGGTTGCTTGCTGAAGGCTTGCTGCACTTTGTTCGGAGAGGCTCTCGCTTCACTGATGCGATACGAGAACAGGAAACGTCGAAGTTGGGAGTCTCCGCTTTGAGGCAAACACTCCCTCTCCATCTCTCCATATCTCTCTCTCTCTCTGCCTCTCTCTCTCTCCCTCTCTCTCTCGCTCTCCACTTGGGAGTTTACAGTAGTGCGTGCAAAGTTCCCGAGACCAGGACTCGTTCCTAGGCAGCCGACCCATGTTCCTTGATTCGTGATTCCACCGGCCCGAATCGCAGGTACAAAATCCGCAAAGCATCACCTCTCCAAGTCGTCTCGATGCCGCAACACCTCAGGTCCAGCGGCTCCCGCAGCCCTTCAACGGTCTCCCTTTTGGGACCAGAGGCCTCCATAAGGGGTCAAGAGCCATGAAGCTTGATGGGATTCGCGAGTCAAGAGGCTTTGTCAGTGAAGTCATGCTCGCGCCAGATTTCTGTCCAGTTCAGGCACGAGGCAGCCTGAGCCTGTCTCGACTGGACTCGCCGGTCACGACTCTGCGGCCGTCGACCCCAACGTATGGTACCGGCTCTCGGGTGTCAGTTGCATAGATGCTCAGCATAATGGATTGCCCAGGCAGTGCTGAGAATACAACTGGACAATATGTTGGATGTGCAATATTTACGAATGTAGTGGTTGAAGATTGTTTTTTAGAGATGCCCTGGAATTCTCTGGCAGATCTCCGGAATCATCAGCAGCATATTGCGCATGGTTCGGTGAGGTGCCGGGGACAGGTCGAGCACAAGGTTGGATTTGAGGCACATTGCTCCCACAGGAACGCTGCCAACGAGTGTGATGGTCGAAGTCATCTAGTGGACAGCTGCTCCTTGCCATCGGATCATGTTTCTTGCATGCAGCAGCCAGCCAAGAGCGAACCGTACATTCCCGAAATGCTTGGTGCAGTCGCACTGACCTCATGCACGGCTTGTTGGATGCAGAGGACTTAGTCTGTGCCAGCCGTTTGACCTGGGAGTTTGTCGTTTGTCGAGTCAGTTCGAGCTTCATCGCCACCTGATATCAGATCTCCTCAGCTTCTCATGCCGGCCGCATGAGTACCTTGGGCCGACATGCCTTCCGAGGTGGGTGAGACTGAGATCTCGTCGCTACGCTCCAGCATCGAGGATGAAACGTCGATCACAGTTGAGAGTAGAGGATGTGAACTGCTTCAAATGATGAGAAGGGGATCCACTGGAGACTGCGACCCCATTTTCCTTGACAGGAGCTGCGGTCGTCTGTGCGCGATCTGCAGCGGCAGGCGAAGCAGGCAGGTCAGTTGTGGCTTCCAGTAGACCCCAAAATGTGCCTAAGCCAGGTACCCGCGGTTTAAATCTTGGTCTTCCGTCAGATTTATGTATGGAGAAGTTTCAGGCCCCACAAACTTGGCGCAACGAGCTGGAGACTGCTATCGACGGATGCCAGGCGCTGACGCTGCAGATTATGCATTGGGGAAGTTAAGAGCTCAGTTCTTCTGCTCGGGGAGGCAAAGTTTTGCTTGTGAAGCGGTACAGGCACAACTTTAGCCAATGAATAATAAAGAATGCCCTCTATCTTCATTAGCAGAGCTAACGAGGCTAACGCGAAGAAGACATTGTTCGGGGCTGCTACTCCCACAGCGTTCCCCTCAAGGTGGTGACCACAAGAAAAATGACTAGCATCATTCAGCAACTACCATCAAGAGCCGGGGGCCAGAATCTGGGACATGTGTTTAGATCGGTAAATGAAGACCCTGATGCAGTTTGTAGAATCGACTATGGAAAATGTAGCAGTGGTCGTCCCAGGCAGAACTGCTGCATTTCGCGAAGAAGTATGTCTATGATCAAAGCTCTCCCATTTGATTTATACTGGTGAAGTTGAGGATAGAGTCAGTTATGAAGCAGCACCCGGATGAGATTTCTGATTTCACTAGGGTTTTGAGTTGAGTCGTTTCCTTTTTTTTTTCCTCTCTCTCTCTCTCTGCAAGGCCTGGCACTCCATCGGCTCATTGGGTCAGTACAGGGTCGAGTCAGGTGCTCTCAAGAATGGATGTAAGTACAGAAACTGCTTTGAGTCAATGAGAAATCTTCCAATGCTTCATGACTTGAGGCCGTTCGGCACAAGAAACATCATGGACACAATTTCGACTCTCTCTCTCTCTCTCTCTCTTTCTCTCCCTGCTGCCCTCCTGCTCTCTGCAGCCCTCTGTCTCTGGCTGGCTGGCTGGCGGGCTGTCGGTCACACAGGAGCTTTCCACGCATTCACATGTGGATGAAGCTGCTTTCTGGCTCGTGCCGGCATCCAGAACAGCTAGCGCAGAAACTCAGCTGTCCATACAAAGGGACGGCCATCTAGTTGGCGCGTGTGGTGCTAGCCATGAGCAAAGGCTTCAGTTTTTCGTCGTTTTCTCTCAGTGCTCAGCCATGGCTTGGCCACCATTCGATGAACTTGCGGAGAGCAGTCTTCGCAGCAGTCGGAGTCGGCGCCCTGTTGCAGACTCTCTAGCCAAAGGAGGAAGAGAGGAAGCACCGACAAGGTTCGAAGTACTGCCGCTGCCCTGGCTGGCGCAGAATCCGTGTTGCGCTAAGTGGCGGGAAGTTCGGGTTGTGTGCTCGGCAGGCATCGCAGAGCTGCATGCCGCGGGAGCAAGACATTCCAGTTTGCTTTGTAAATCTCTATAGACCGCTGCTTGAATTTCGCTCAGGGGAGGGGAGCACAGAGCTTGGGACAAGCGAGACCTGTCAGCTTGGGCCCAGGATGGGCTCACCTCGATTTCCGTGGTCGCGCGCGGCCCGGAAGTGCACTCTGACGTTCTTTCGTGTTCTGGGAGGACTCGGTTGGCCGCCACGCAAAAGCTTCTTGCGCTCGAAGGGTGGCAACCAAGGTGGTGACGTCTGCTCTCCAGGAGTATCAGCAACGAGCCAGAGCCTCATCGCATCTGTTGTCATCCCACTTCTTACATTGCCACGCCAAGCCCCATGTGGTTTGCTTTCAAGTTTCTGAATGCACAAGATAGATGTGTCACCGTTTCGGCAAGGTACTGTGGGCAAAGCAAAGCTGGGCACGTGACTGCCCGGCTCCTGCGGAGATGTTTTGCCTTGTGCGCTGCTCGTGAGTCTCCAGAGACAGCTGCAGGAATTTCGGTAAGAAGCGTCACAGCAGATACCAGTACGTCTAAGGGCCGGAGATCCTCTTCGTAGCTGGGGCGCGCAGCTTTGGGGAGGTTGACCCGAGCTTGGAGGTTTGGGATCTTCGCAGTCGCCCCAGGCCGCCCAGGCCTCGGGTGCCAACGCGTCCCTGGGCATAGAATCCTTGCAGGCGCCCCGGAGTAAGATCACCCAAGAGCCCCTACGGCCCTACCTACGTGGGCAAATTGGGGCAAAGGGCCTTTGGAAGCTCTCGAGTCTGCAGAGAGCTTTGCATGCTGAACGCCTTCGGTACAGCATTGAGGCCGTGCAGTGATGATGAGGAGCGTGGAGTCTGCTGCAAAGCACCTGTCTGAGATCACCCAAGAGTTCGAACAGAGGCATGGCATGGTTTTGTTTGTGGCCTTTCCCTTGTAGCCTTCCAGACCATCCTGGGCCTGAAGCTGGCTCTGAAGCGCTTCCCCGAAGCCCGGTGGCACCTCTGGCATGCTTCAGAGCTCGGATGTTTCTTGGAAGCGGAGTTGTTTGCTGGCAGGATTGTGAGAGCAGTCGCAGCTTTCTCAGCGCAGAAAGAGTGAGAACTGGGTAGCTTGCATGGGCAGCTGCAGCTGCAAGTGTTCTGTTTGCTTCTCCTGACATCCCGAGGATGACACCGTGGTCTTTCCACAGCAATTGGAAGCCGAGTTGCAGGTCTTCGACGTGGACGCCTCGGGACGATGTAGCCTTTCCTGTCCGAGCCGGTCAAGTCCAGGCCCGACGGTTCGTGTACGTCGGTGCCCCATCGATCACGCTCCTGTGCCATATGGCCGCGGGCCCATCCTGTCTCGAAGGTGACAACCGCTGTTGGCCTGGCATGTGACCTTAAGCGCACGTGCCGAGGCAAAGTTTGCCAAGCAGTGCGGGGAGCTTCATGCAGGTGGAGGAGGCAACCCATCCCATGCGACATGTGCGTGGTTCCGCGGAGTATAGGTTGAAGGGACGATGCTGCAGCAAAGGTGGCATTGCGCTGAGCCGACCCCTGGCCGAGTTTCTCCTGAACCTGGAGGACTTGTTTCTCAACCTTTGCAGGCACAGAGGGCTGTGAGCCGAGAGAAAAGCTCTGGATCTTTCAGCCACTATGCACAGCCGGCCAAGAGTAACCAGCAGCCATGAACATATGCAGCTGTGACGAGTATGTGAACATTGGCAATCAACATTGTCAGTAGTTTTACTGGTAGCCTGTTAGTATCATAGCGATGTGCAGCAGAGCTCCAGGATATAGACAGTGAGAGTTTCTAGGGAAGCCATCGGTGTTCGAGGCATGACGATGCTTTTCTGGGTCACTTGCTCCGCTACGTTCTGGACGTTCATGTTATGGTGTGGAGCCTCAGACGTGCTGATGAGCCACATCAATCCTGTAGCTCGAACTTTTGCAAGCAGAGATGCGGGTAGCAAAGGTTCCTTTTCACGAGCGAGTCTTCTGCCCATGAAGCCAGTTTTCGTGAGACCTTCAGCCCAAACCAGAATGCTTGCAGCGTAATCCCAAGCCATTATCCCGAACCACGAAGACCGGCAACTCAAATCCTGGACCCTCACTCTGAACTTGAAAGCTTCAACCCCCACCTCTGCATGCTGGGAATGCCGCTGCGAAGCAGTGGCAAGCTTTCGCGACCCCCGGCGATCGAAACCTCATGCTTGAAGCGGCGAAGTAACATCCATGCAGCAATGCAGCCCGTCTGAGAACCCTTCCCTGAACCCTCAAACCTTCATAAACCCTGCTCGCAAGCATGTCTAGCTCTGCGAACCCTCCTACAAACCAGTCTATGAACCCTTCCATAAATCCTATTAAATCCTTCTACAAGCCCTCTTAGGACACGGCGGGATTCGCATTGACGCCGACAGCTCACGTCCACCGAGAGGGCTGTCATTTCGGAGCCCTAGCCGCGACCAACATGCTTCCCCTCATGTGGCCGAAATGCTTCGCCCATTTACTGGTGGGCTTCGGGGCGAGGACCGAGCTCGAACTGTCACGGCAAATCAGGCACAGTGCGCTCTCGCGGGACCAATAATGCTTCCCTCAAATTCTGGCGCGATTCAGACATGTCGAAGTTACGGTATCGCCGAGAGGATTGCGCTCACAAGCCAGCAGCGGGGTTGTTTCGAAGCCTACAGGAGGCACTTCAAAAAGCTTTCGGGAAGTCAAGAAGGCCCTTCAAACCGCTGGCCCGCTGGAGCTTGAAGCCCTCAACGGCTCAAGCCCTAACCTAAACCCTGAAGCTCGAACTTCTCAGTGGAGGCCCTGCCCGGGATCCTGCAGGAGCCTCGCTTTGAGCAGCTGCGCCCGGGCCCTGGGCTTCGGATCGTTTTTGCTGGGAGGGGGTCTTTGATTTGGGCGGGTGGAAGCAGAGTCTGGGGTTGTCGGGTTTCGGGCCCGAAGTTTTGCAGGTGACCAGCTTTAAGGGTGTGTGATTTGTACGATTGTGTCTTGGGCGTTGGGGTTCTTTCATGTTTTCGGGTTTAGAGTGTTGTTCCAGGGCTTGTAGATTTGATGCTTTTTGGGGTTTAGGATCTTCAGGTGTTTTGCTTCCCGTTTTCAAGTTTTCAGGGTTTGCATTTTTTCAGGTTCTATAGGTTCAGGAGTTTCGAGTTTAGAGCTGTAAAGGGTTTAGGACCTTCGGTTCTTGGCGCTCCTCTGCTTCGCTCTTGGGACTGCGGTTTTTTTGGTTGCTATCCGAGCCATAACTATGACAAGGATGCTAACAAGTTTGACTTTTAGGGGGGGGTTCAAGTCAGCCAACTGCTTTTTGGGGGTTAGAGAAGTTCGGGTTTTGGGGTTTGCGGTTCTGGGGCTTAGAGTTCTTGGGTTTAGGGTTTGGGTCATTTCTGTTTCCCAGGCTTACGGGTTTAGAGTTTCAGTTTAGGGTGTCAGAGTTTAAGATGTCAGGGCTGGATTTTATTGTTGATGGTTCTAGGGGCTTTACAGTGTTTACAGTCTCAAGGATTCATGGTTCGGGATTTTGGGGGTGTAGTTTTGTTCTTGGTGGTTCTTGGGTTTTTGGTTTTACGATTTTTGCTTGTCCTTGTTTGGAGTCTCAGGCTTTAGGCTTTTTTTGTTACTGGTTTTCGGGTTTAGTAGGAGTGTCGGGCCGTTGGGTTGGGCTTAGGGTTAAGAGTTGTTGGGTTGTGGGGTTTAGAGTTTGGAGGTTTTATGGTTTAGGGTTTAGGGGTCTTGGGGTCTTAGGGTCTCGGGTTTAGGTCCTGGCATTCGGGGTCTTGGGGCCTGGTGCTTTCGGGTTTTTGGGTGTCGGGTTTCAGGGTGTTGCGTTTAGGGTTGTGGGGTTGTGGGTTTTCAGTTAAGAACTTGGGGCTTTCGGGTTGAGGCATTTAAAACTACCGACCTAAACCGAAGCCCTGCTGTCAAGCCGCCGGAGCCCCAGTCCATGACTAGGACGTGGAAGAAACTTTAGACCACAAGATCCTTGCGCTTTGAAGATGAACATCCTTCACGGGATTCTGACAGTGTTGTCACTTTGATGGGTCCCCACGAAGCTGAGCTTCTACAATGTCTACAACTTTAAGACTTTAGAGCTTACAGCATCTGGGCTCTCGGTTTTGCGAACTTGGCAGGCTGGTCTGGACCAGGGCTACCACCTCGATGCCCGTTGCCGCTGCCCCCTTCAGCTGCTGGGTTGAGTTGGTTGGGTTTGCACAAGCCTTCCAGAAACATTTCAACAGCCGAAAGTCGTGCACAGCGAGGTCTACTCTCCAATGGAGGTGTGACAGCCAGAGACTCGCGGTCTTCGGGGCATCTCGTGATGCTAGGATTGGGGGCCCCTGCAACCATTCGCCCCAACGGATGCGGTGCGGTTGGGTCTCGTCCATGCGGCGGGGCACCCAGCTGGCTGGAAAGAAGAAGGGCCTGGCGGCCTGGCTCATCCTTGAAGGTGCTCTCGCAGGCTTTGGGCTTGAGAGGAGTAGCTGCGTCTGTGCGCCTTTTCGACGTTGGGGTGCCATTTGAAGCTGGGCAAAGCACCGGGCAACAGACTCGTCTGGGCGCTAAGAAGGCCCCACATCTCGTGCGCTTCTCGCCTGAACGGCGCAGCCATGGCCGCACAGGACTACTCAGAGAGCAGGTATGTTCACTTGGCCATCAATGGTCTCAGCGGCTTGCTCGGACTTCTCGATGTGAAAGCCAGCATTTCGGTCTTCGAGTGCCTCGGTGTGCATTCCAGAGCAGTCGCTGAGCAGTCTGAGCAGCCTGTGCAGTGCCTCATGTAGCTGTGAGGCTCCGCAGCAAGGTGGAGGACCTCCTGAAGATTCCAATGAAGGAGCAGCAGCTGCTCCTGGGGGCATCGCCTCTTTCGGACACGGCCACACTGGATGACGCCCTCGGGCTCACAAAGCAGACCCAGGACCCTGAGCAGCAACTGCATGCACGCACCTTCTGCCTTTCGCCGCCTTGAGCAGGAGCCTCAGAAAGGCTGCACCGAGGTCACACTCGTCAGGGTGCAGAAGCCCGAAATCGAACAGGAAGGGTTGAGGGCTGTGTGCACTTCTGCGGAGGGCCACATGTGAAGCACCCAAAAGCTCTCGCGAGGACTTTTCTCCCTGGTTAGACCGGGACGCGTGGAGCTGGCGCTGAGGAGTACACCACGTGCCCTTGGTGCTGCGCCTCGAATTCAGGTACAGTAGGGATGCGCAACCTCAGCTCGATCTAGAGGAAAACACAACCTTCGTTTAGGTGCAAAGCGTATCCAGAAAGAAGGCCTAGCTCAAGTCATTGGTTCTCTCAGATCTCTGCGCGGTTGTTTTCCAGAAGCATCGCGAACAGCAAATTAATGCAGTTGCCCGACTGCTCAGTCGCCGTTTGTGTTCTCTGCGGCCTTCCCAGCTTTTCCACGAGGTGAGCTTTCCAATCCGAAGCTGTCCAACAATAAGGGCATCTCAAAGCTAGGATGCTACTTTTGGCGATAGCTTGGTTGGAAGCTGGAGAAGGGGAGCAGCTTGTCGATATCATTTGGAAGCGACGAAACGCCTCGACACCGTTGAGGTGGAAGCGGTCCATGGGCGAAATTTTAAACAGGGGCTTTGGCAGAGAGCAGCCCTCGCACCTCTTGAAGCGGACCGGAGTCTCTAAATCGAATGATGGCAAAATCTCCTGATGAAGTTGGAGCGCAGCCGGTCGGCACATCGAACATAGTCTGTCATTGCATTGCAAATATGTGACTTCCATGTCCGCCATTTGTAAGAACCCTGCTCAGCACGGCTTGGTTTGGGCAGTGATCCAGTGCTGCTCCCCGTGCCTTAGCACTCCTCGTCAGCAGCACCCTCTTCTAGAGCACGGATGTGGGGTGTGCCTTTGACGAGCTGATCAGATTGCATATCGTATTCAATTAGCTGGACAATTGCGCCGATGCTTACAGTAGTTTGGCGCCGCCGAGACCGGGCCAAGTCCATCAAGCCGGCACAACTTGAGAACTTAGACCGGTATGCAATGATGTTACACTCAACCAGACTCTTTCCGACATGGACATGCTGTGTTACTGCATGGCGAAACAGTAGCTTAGCATGCAGAGCAACGCCGATCTACCATCTGCATTGCTTAAATGACAATTAGATCTGTGCCCGGGCTTGCAACGAACGACTGGGCCGTGTGATGCAAGAAAAGTGCATCTGTACCGAAGCGATTCTGTCCACTGCATTGAGACCCATTTGGCATCTTTGGCTGGCAGCCAAGGATCCTGCAACATGGCCGCTCTTAGCGGCGCTTCCGCAGCTGGTGCGGCGCTCTGAGAGCCGGCAGCCAGGGCCTTCCTGGAGAGCTGGTCTCTCAGGTGGAGACCGCATCGAAGCAGGGCCTGCGCCTGCTGGTCTACGCTGACTCGCAGGGACATCGTATAGTTCCTGGGCTCGCTTTGAGAAAGTTGAACGTTGGACCACTGGAGCCCTTCGAAGCAGATGAGGTTTATCCCCATTTTCGTGGAGCCACGACCCTTGCCGCCGCCGCCTCGGCAGGACCTCGGCAGGCTTTAGCTGTCGGACTAATAATGTTGGGCTGGCTTTCGCGTGCCTGCAGGTGTGTTCCTATGAGCATGCGGAGAGGCTGCTGTCTTTTCAGGTGCAAAACATAGCTCGATGCGAGTTTGCAAATGGGATTCCCTTCTTCATCATGCCATTTTGTGCTGTGGAAGCTTCCTGATGTCCGATGAAACAGCAGGCATCTGTGGCAACTCATGCTTCCTGAGGGTCGATCTGATGCTAGTTTCACCCTCACCATGAGGCACGGCCGTGAAGCCAGCAAAACGGAAAAACAGCCGAACTCGAACTGTGAGTCTTTGCAGAAGTGCCACCTTCACCTTCCAGAGACCTGAAGATACCTGAAGCATGCGGCTGTGCAGTGAAGCTTCTTGCTGTTTCAGTAGGACTCATCGCCCTTGTTATCTCTCCCCACATCTCGGCCCATCTGGACATGTGCCTTTGATTTACGAAGATGTTCAACAGGCCAAAGCTGCGACGTTGCAGCAAGATGCCTTAGAGACGGCAGTGAAGGATCCGACTGTCGCAGTGCAAAGGCTGTCTGTCTGTCTGTCTGTCTGTCTGTCTTGTGTGACAGGTTTTGGGGCTCTGGCTATGCAGCATTATCGCAAGTTTAGGCTCTCACTTTGGCGACACGATGCATTCTCCAGCAATTTGTCCGTCGCAGGATGTGCGTTCCGAAGTCGATGCGAGACTGGAGCAGGAGCTGCCAGTCGCCGCACTCTGCCGGAGTTCTCCCCAACATGCTAGCAACAGCGAGACAAGAGTTCCAGACTGATACATGTTGCATGCAGAATGCCACAAGAGACGCAATCTGGCACGAGCTTCCCGTGTCAGATGTGTGTGTGTATATATATATATATACACATACATGTGCGTATGTGCGTGCGTGTGTGTATGTGTGTGCGCATGTACCTGTGCCTGTGTCTGTGTGGGGGGGGTTTGCTGGTGATTACACAGGGTTTCCAGAGCATTTGAGCCCCACAGAGCTGTGTGGAGGCAACCCGGGCTTCAGCCCGTCGCTGCGCAGCCATTGAGGATTCGTTGGAGGCATCGGGCAAGTCTGTGCTGGTGCAGCGGTTGACTTGCAGAGATATCGTCCTCGGTTTCTTGTGTGCAAGCTGAAATGCGCTGAAGCGCAGCGCGCCCTCCTTCACGGCGGTTCTTTTCGCTCCTGCTGCTGATGCATGCAATCTGCAGGCACTCCGCCTTTCATCAGCTGCCCAGACCAGTGCGCTGCGGTCGGAGCTGTCCGCCGCAGTGGACGCCCTCGCCACTGCAGGTGTGGCGGTGTGACCTCGGTGCCGCTTGTTCTCTTGGGATGGACTTGGGGACTGGGGAGCATTGGGAGGACCCATGGAGGCGGTCACGGTAATGCAGGCCCATGGCGGAGCCCAGCTCGAGGCTCGATACTAGTAGTAGCGGCGAGAGCGTTTTGGGACCTCACAAAGCTGTGGTGCGTGTCCCAGCAGCCGATGTGATCTGCAAGATTGAAACCTCCAGCAGTCTAGCCTGGCGCAGCGATCTGTTCGTGGCAGTCTCGCTTCGCGTTGCTCGAGCAGCAGCTCGAGACGTTGAAAGGCCTTGCAGGCTTTGTTGATGCATCTGCTGGAGACCGAGTTTTGTGCGCAACCTGCGAGTTTCTGCAGCCACGTCTGGCATGCGAGCCAACTCGCCCCAGCGAGCCTCGGCCCTAGAAACTCTGGGTTGTCTGGAGTCTCGGTCTCCATGCATGCCATTGCTTGAGGAAATGGGCAGTGCATGGGGTAAGAATGAAGGTTTTCTGCAGCTCGACCGTCGCGAATTTTCTGGTGAGCACGAAATCGAGGCCGTCGCTCGCCGTAGCGTCGTGGGAAATCGTACTTCCGCCACAGTCCCATACATTATCGCATTCGGAAGTCGTGGAAGCGACGCTTTTGGAGAGAGATCGCGCTCTTCTCGCCACCATCCCATGGGTTTCGAGGTTCTGGAGTGGTCTTGGGGCGGTCTCGGAGTCGTGTTGGAGTGATGACCACTGAGCTGAGGCTGACCGAAAGGTGGAGGCTGTTGAACAGAAAGTCTCGCAGTTGGAGGCTCTCAGTTCAGGCATGTTCCAAGCCTTGCCAAAGAGCTTGACGTGTCAGGCGAGGCTGAAGGAATACCGCAGCCAGACTTCAGTGTGAGCCCTGGAAAATTACCTTCATGCGGATTGATTCTTGTTGCCAAGTGTACGGCCGCCAAAAAAGCACATAAGCAAACATAAGGATAGGGATCTCCCATATAAACCCCTTGTAATGAAGCCCAACAAGGTAGGGATATCACCATAAAATGCTTATGCTTATGTGCTTTTAGGGTCCCTACTAAGTGACAGAAGGCTCCAGAAACACAACCATCATGCCCGACGCCCTTCTCATGTCGCAGCGTCTGCTCATTTGCCATTGTCTGGGCTTTCGTCCCGAGACATTCTCTTGCGAGCAAGACTTCTCTCATGCAGCCCCTTCTCCTGCTCTTGCTCCACCGTCCAGCCTGCTGCTCCTCTTGCTCCTACTGCCCCTCCTGATCATCATTATCATCCTTACCGTCATTGTCATCACTGCCATCATCGCCATCATCAGCATCATCACCGTCATCATCGTCATCAATGTCATCATCATCACCATCATCACCATCATCAGCAAGACGATGATGATGATGATCATCATCATCTGTCATCCACATCCTCGCGGATGATGCTTCGCCTGCCTCTGCGCAGGACCAGGTGCATGAGTTGAAGAGCGCTTTGAACTCCCAGGAGGTCAGCCCCGCATGTGCAAAATAACGCTCAAACTATGGCTTGAGGGTTGAGGGATGCATTGTCTTTATTGCTGCATCTGGATTGGGGAATTTTGCAGATTGTGCTTCGGCATCGATGTAGGTCGCGCACTTAAGAATCCGTGCGTGTACGACGCTTCAGCGGCTCTGCCTTGCAGGCTCTTTGCTCCAGCTTGGCCTGCGGTTGGTTCTATGTCACCGATGTTTTGCAGTTGGCAGTGTCGGGGTGTTAGGCCAGTTCAGCAGTTATAGACTAGCGGCAGAGCAGCATCCCGAAGGAAGAATGGCCACCAGTTCTGGCATGTATCGGCTATATACCGTACTGTTTCGAGCATCCTTGGAGATTTCGTCAGGTGCTGGCCCAGATGGAGGCAGCAGTCTCTTTGTCAGTCTAGCACCTGCAGCAGAGCGCAGCCAGTCGGGCGAAGCAACTGTCTGCTCGGTTCTCGTCAAGCTTGCGCAAGTCCTTAGCTGCCTTAGCTTAGCTTCTGCCACCTTGCGCCGGTGCGCAGGACCTCCGAGATCAAAACTCCGAAGCGATTCGAACAGCAGCTGCCAACATCGCGACCCTGGAGGCCTGGCTCTGAGCACCACGCAGCAAATGCCAATCTCCACCGAGTCGAAGAGGGTTTTGGAAACTCTTCGGTTTCCAAAGACCTCCTCGGGCTTTAAAGATCCTATTCAGCTGTTGGCGATCGAAACATACCCTGTCAAGAAATGCGTTTGGCTAATAAAAGGAGGATGCCTGGGCAAGCGGCTGCCTGTGGCACCTTTGGCAACAGACTGTGATATTTTGCTGTCCACAACAGCTGTCTCTCTAAACCTTTTGTACCCCTAGGGGAAGCGTGGAAATCCTTGGGCGACTGATGAGCTTCGCCCCCACAGCATTCGTCGGACCGAACCCACTTTTGCCTGCAGAGGATTAGGATGGCAGACGGGCAGATGGAATCAGTTTTCGACCAGCCTGCCTTAAAGCCTCGATGGCGCACCTGCTTCCCAGGGATCCGTCGACTCTTGGCGACAGCGGATGGACCGTGCGCTCAAAGAGCGAGGCACTGAGAGAGCCACTTCTGCCATCTGGAACTGAAGCATATTGCTCTGCGGCCGAGTTGCTTGCTGTTTGCACATCTCACGTCTTGGGTCTGTAACGCCAAGAGCTTGTTCAAGAACTAAGGACAGAGCAAAGGCTGTCGCAAGAGGCGGGTTTGTAGCTTGTGTTTGCTGCTGGCTTCTTTTCGGTGCAGTGACCGTTTCGAGTGTCGCAGTTCAATGCTGGTCAGTGGCAAACTGGTAAAGGCATTCGAAGCTAGAGGCGCTTGATACACATTCATACGCACGCCACATGCCGCATCACCGCACACCATGGCTTTGAACGCTCCACATGGTGACGGTCGATCCGTGAGGTCGAGAAGCGCTTGCAACCCGTGCAGGATGTTCTGCAGACTTTACAGTGTCATGGAAAAATTGGGAGCCGCAGTGCGAGGACCGCGTCGTGCAAGACATCAAGGGTGTTACAGGTGCTCTCGCTGCTGAGGCAGGGCTGCAAGCTGTGGCATGACTTCCGCCCCTTTTTCTGCTGACAGTCCTTTCTTTTCTGACAGGCCGAGAGCTTGCGTGGCAAGATGGAGCAGCGAATCGCAGATGAGTTCCAGCAGTTGCGTGCTCGGATGGCCTGAGCCTTGCAACGTGGCTTCACATGCGTGTCTCAGGATCTCTGGACAGATCCAGTCGGTTCACAGCACTGCTCTGCAGAACCATGAGTCCATGGGCAACAATGCCCTCGGCTAAGCTTCAGGGAGCCCGAGCCTCGAAGCCCGGTTCGCTCTGGCTCTGACCTCAGGTCTCGAGTCTGCTGCAGCGCCTCGGTGCCGCCGAGATTTCGATGGCTGAAGAGCAGGGCAAGCGAGAGCTGATGAAGAGGTGCTTGACGTCATGTGCACCCAAGTGTCTAAAAAAAGCCACAAAGCCTACAGGAAGGTTGCTTCTTCAAGTCTCTCTGGGGCATGGCAAGCGTCTAAAGTCAGAAACTTGAGCAGGGGGGGGTGATGCAAAGAAGGTCTGGAAGACAGGGAAGGGGAAGACGATTCCCACGTTGTGACCGCGGAAGCGCCTCTGCGCGAGGCATCTGGAGGAGCGCCTGGACCAGGCGAGGGGCGCTCGCGCTCGCGCTCGCGACCGGAGGGGAGCGGACCGTTTGTGAAAGGAGGTCTCGCCTCAGCTCTCCTCGGTCCTCCGCTCTCTTCAGCTCTCTGAGGTCGCAAGCAGCCGCACACAGTTCCATCGGCCCAGTGCGGCGCCCCAGGCAAAAGCGGCCCTGCAGTTGCGATGCCATGCCCCAGAGTAGCGAGGAGTTTCTGCTTTGCCGAGGCGAGGAGGTGCGAGAAGGCCACCACAGCACTTCTTCCTTGAAAGGGTCCCTCTTCCCATTTCTTTACGACAGGCGCCGAACCAGGGTCACCCAGGAGCCGTCTTACCACCGTGCTCCTCATCAAAGGGGCAGTGCGCAACACAGCCGTACAAGTACTTGTCCGCAGGACTCGCGAAACTGCACGTGTGGCGGTGCAACTGGAGGTGCGTGCCCCTGCTTGAGTTCGAGCATCAAGACAGTCTGTCGTAGGCCCTAGGCCCACGCAGAGTTCAGGGTTCAATAACCTCTGCAGGCTTCAAGACATAGCAAGGTTCTCGGATACATAGCGGCTGTGGGTTGTGTTGGGATGGGAGGAAACTCTACCTCCGCGGAGACGATTAGAAGCTTCTGGCGGTTTGTTTCGCACACAGCTACCGAATCAATGTCTCATCGAACTTGAGCATGTAATCTGCGGAGATGCTTGTGTTCGTTCCGCGGAGCTGAGAGGTTCACGACAAGGAGATGAAGCGGCTGGCGAAAGAGTCTCAGAGCCAGGCAAAGATCCTGGACCGCCTGAGCCCCGGAGCCCTGGCCGAGGCTTATGTTGGCAGCTTAGCCATGTTGAGCAGTGAGCGTAGCCCTGGGCCCAGGCCCTAGGCCTAGCTGGAAGCTACGCTAACGTCTCGTGCAGACGACCCCCGTGTCAACGAGGCCTCTCTGAGCAGCAACGTCGCCTAGCACAGGAGCAGGCGGGCAGACTCTGCCTCTCAGAACTGTGCAGGTCTGAGCATCCTGGGTACATTGAATGTGCGTCAACGCAGCAAAACTACGGCAGACCGGAGCAGCTGGTCGTGCATTGGCAGTTTCTCCATGTCGTCACGATTGCTCAACGACCTCACATGTGGATTCGAAAGTAGTGATCGCTTAGAGACCGAAAGGCTACCGACGTCTCGCGCCACGAGTCCTCCCGCCTGGAGGCACGGTGCATTTATGATGGTCAGTATGCGACTGCATGTTTTGGGATTTCGACCGGTTTCAGTATATGTAGGCTTCGGCAGCACCGAAGGTTTAAACACGGACTTGACTTGCTGTTTCGTCGGGTGAAGCTGCAATGACCGTATCCACGATGCCTCTCCTGGCCCTCCTGTTTATCGGGATCCTGTACGGCGCAAAAGCAAGGACGGTAAGGGCCTTGCCGCTTGTTCCTGATCTAGCTTTGCTTAGCTAACATGTTCACTATCAGTGCTAAATCTGTTCCAGATTCGTGGTACAGGTGCTCGGGAATGAAAGCAGAACATGAACTGGGTGGGGCGTTTTTTTCGATTGAGTTCTCGCTCGTTCTTCCATGATTCATGCTTCGTCACCAGGAGCGGAAGGGCACCGAGAAGTCCGAAAAGCGGCTGAAGGCCCGCATTATCGGCTGCCGATCGCGGGGACACACCTATGTCACGAAAACCAATGAATCCAGAAGTTAAATAAAATTAAATCTTGATATAATTGTTCGGTTTTGACATACCTTGGACCTTCCAAAGACACAATTAAATCGGGTTGTAATTGTGTCGATATGCATTTCTCTACCCAGTAATAAACAATTAAATCATGAGTTTACTGTCTCCTGTGTGCCAGTATATTCTACCAGAGACTTGTGTGCAATACGCTCGGGGGATATCACATTAAATCATGATTTAATTGCAGAATTTGGCGTCCTTCTGGGTAACCACCAGTAATGTAGTTGGTTCCTATCACGGTCCAAAGACTTATAGCCTAAATAAGTCGATCGCCACACTAGCGGGAATCCACGTTCAATCATGATCTAGTTGCCGAATTCGCCCTCCTAGGTAACCACCAGGAATGCAGTTGGGGTTACTATCACGGTCCAAGGAATTTTAGCCTAGATGAGTAGATCGCCACAGTAGCGGGATACCACGTTAAATCATGATTTGATTGTGCAATTTGGCGTCCTTCTTGGTAACCACCAGTAATGTAGCTGGTTCCTATCACGGTCCTACTCCAGTCTACTCCAGTCTACTCTAGTCTCGTCTAGTCGAGTCGAGTATGATCACGCCTCCGCCTTGCCTGCATTCATCTCTTTGGGGTCCACCCATTATCATTTCCAACGCCATGGACCGCCATTTCGATGCCACAAGCTGTCCTCTGAAATTTTCTCTTGCTCAAGATCTTGCTTCTCCTTTTCGGGCTGTCATCTACCATTGCTTGCTGTAACAACACAGTGCCTCTTAGGGACGCGTCCCGTAGACACACCTGCGCACAATGCAGTAGACAAACAAGCATGCGGACCGTGCATCTCACCTTAAACCTTGAGCCTGAAACAAGGATCCTGCGAGGCAGTTACTTGATGATCTAATTGTTGCGTTCTTGCCAACTGTTCGAGTTGATTTAATTGTTCCAGATCTGGTCATTGATTCAGAACAGTTAAATCATGATTTAATTGTCGCATCGGGTTCGGATAATGTAGCAGAAAGAATTAAATCATGATTTAATTGTGCCGTGTAGGAGCAGGACAGGCGTGGAATGGAGCGTCGCGCAACGTTCAGGGCCAATTAAATCATAAGTAAATTCTGCGGGCCTGAGGGGTCCAAGGCGGCCCGATGCCGGGCAATAAACTCGGGAGTTAATGGCTTTTAACTCTTGGATTCACTTCCTTCCTGTAGTCACAAAGGAAATCCTTCAGTCTGGGGCGCACAGACCTGAGCCAAAGCTTGCACTATGGTTGAGTCAAGTCTAGATGCTCAAAACAACGGCATGGAAAGCAACGTGCAGGCACGTCTGGAAGAGCTGTGGCCTCAGCGAGAGTTGCAGAGAAACCTTAAATCAGGGCAAAGTGTTGCGGCCACCCTCGGGAGGTCAGAAATCCATTCTGCGGTGGCCGGGTGTATGATTCTGTATCCGGTCGTAGGACATGAATGAGCATGGTCTTGATATCCAAGTGTTTAAATCCCAAGCGATCGAAGCTCAAAGCGACATGCATGTTTATAGTTAAATACTATCCGAAGCTTGGACGCAGAAACGAGTGTGAGAGAAGCTTGCGATGCAGACTGCGGCCAGCACTCAAGATCACATGAATCTTGTGCGCAGCTGATTCCATCGGTGCTGCAGTTTATCCTCCGTCGAGTGTGTCGGACAAAGTGTCGATGAGTTGGTTCGGGACTTGAAAATCCCGAAGGGAGAATCCAAGCTTCGCGGCGTGCTCGCTGGGAGACAGCCTCGGGACTGGCAACTTGAGAAACCATATTTCCAAGACATGGAACCGTCACTGGAATGACAAGCCCAGTTCCAACACGAGATCTCATGCGTGATAAGACATAAGCCACGGCAGGCCCAGAAGTGGTTAGTGGTTACCTCAACAACATGACTACACTGACTACACGATTCGAAAGGAGCCTGATTTACGACACTCCTACAGTCGCTTGTTCATCTACTTGACTCCCGGAAAGACACCACAGCACCACATCGCATGTCTTGCGTAAATTCTGAGGTTGGAGGCTCGCTTGGAGATAATGCAGCCAGTGCCTCAGAAGGGGCTCAGGGTTGAGGCTGTTCAGGTATGGAGGCTTCTTGGGATCATGTGCAGCAGAGAAAACGGGTGGTGGACGGCTGCAAAAGGTACTTTGATAAGGCGGTGCTCGGATTTGATTCTTCTGACAACCCTCACATGCGCAGCCGCTTGGCAATCTGAAGGTCTGGTTCGCCCAAAGCGATCGCACGGTCCGGAACCCTGAAAGATTTCGAAGCATGAAGGGTCCAGGATTCTCCAGCGCTTTTCTCAATGTGACTCTTGCGTTGTCTCGCCCAGCTGATCGGCTCCAGGAAAACACGCACAAGCTTTTGTGTGTCGGCTGACCGGTGAGCAATGGTTCTTGCGCTGACTGCCGCTGCGAAGGGGGGACAGGATGGAGGGCTGGGAGGTGAGGCAGGCAAGGTTCCTCCGAGACTCCCTGCATCCTTTGCAGACTGGTTGTTAGATCTCGTATATGACGGTACTTCTGCTTCCGTGATTCTCGAGAGGTGGGTGGGCAGCTTGAGACCATTGTTGAACCTCCTTCTGGTGCCAACAGCAGTCATTTCGTTAATTGCATACGCTGGAGGCAAGGCACTGCTGCGGAAGACCCTTCCCTTCGGAGCAGCTGTCTCGACATGTGTTCTTCTAAAGGCACTTGGCGAGGGCTTTGGCCCTCCATGGAGCAGCTTCCAACCCAGCAGTGCAATTGTGGTGGTAGTGCTCCTCATGGAGCCTGGGATCACAGTCGAGCGCTTGCTTTTGAGAGCTTCGGAGCGTGTCGTGGGCACCTGCATGGGTTGTGGACTGGCAGTTTGCATGGCCTTTCTTATGGATGTCTTGGGCAAGGAGCCCCTCCAAATCTGCAGCTTCTGCTTCGCATCCTTTACGCTTTTTGGGGCGGTGCAGGCTCATCACGGAGTTATCCCCTTTGTGTTCTCGGTGATGTGTATTGCATGTGCTGTTGTGATATTTGGCTACATGACAACTGGCTGGGCGTTCATTCGCAGCCAGGTTGCATCTGTGCTGGTCGGTGAGATTGTGTCCTTGTCATCGTCTTTGCTTTTCGAAGGTTTGCTGGGAGATGCGGCGAGTTCACGCTCTCACGCCCACGTCGTGGAAATCGCAAAGGAAATGGTGGACAGAGCTTTTGTGGCAATCGAGTTGGTGTTTATTCATAATGAAGCCGCGGCCTTGCGTGCCGCAGGTAGCAGTCCAGTCCGTCAGTTTCGGGCTCTGGGTCGCCGGCGCACATTCAGCCCCGGCGTTCTCGATCTGCTTGCTCACGAAGAGCCGGGAAGTCATGGACGCTCTGATGAGATTGAAGTTGGCTGGTTGGAGAGCCAGGAGGCTGCGCTGGAGACGCGTTCCAGAGCCTGCCTGGCTGACATGGTGGCTGTCGAGAAGATGTGGGGATGCTTGGGCTTCGGCAGGAGCAGCATTGGTGTTCCTCATTACAGCGCCGTGGTTCGTCAGGTGCACTTTCTGTTCCTGCAAGCATGTACACTTGCACGCAACGCCCCTCTGAATTCAGAAGTGCGAGGCGAGATGAAGCAAACCTTGGACGATGTGCGCTTCAACATGCTGGCAATGTGTCAGCCACTGAAGACATTCTTGGACGGACTCAATGCTGTCGCTGGGGTTTCGAAGTTCGAGGCAGAGATGTTGCGCATGTGCGACATCGTGCAAGAGGTGCACGCGAAGCTGGAGTCAGTATGGACGGTCTGTAAGCAGCAGTGGCAATCTTCACGCCAGAGCTCCACGGTCTCGACTGCCAAACGAATTCAGTCAGCAGTACAGCTGGCAAAGCAGAAGCGCACGGCATCCGCCTTTTGCCAAGGGTTAGACTCCGTGCTTGCAGCTGCTGTGAATTTGGTGCGAGAGCACATTCACATCGGCTACCCCAAAGCCACTGATGCTGGTGCAGTCAATATCCTCCGCCAGCGCCTGGAGGACATGGCAGGCCTGGCACCTGTCTGTCAGGTCGACTAGGATGCTCCTGCGACTCGCCGCTGGCTTAGTAGGTCGCTTTCCCGGTGCCCAATGGTGCAGTTGCTGTGACTACGAGGAAGAATGCAAGCAAAAAGGATTATCAGGCTAGCACCATCCAGCAGATCAGCTGAAAGAGACTGCACAGCTGTGGTGATCCTTTAGATCTCAGAAGCTTGAGTCATGAGGCTGGAAAGCCATCGCTTTGACAAAGTTCCGGAGGCCCGGTGCAACAATGCGGCTAGCCATGGCACCAGACAGTTCCAGGCTTCAGGCGTTTCCCTCTTTGGAGCACTTCCGCTCCTTTGGTTTTGCTCGCAGGCAAGCATAGCAGACGTGGTTCGAAGCCTGGAGGAGACCCGTGGGCCAAGTAGGTCTTCATGCTAGCGACAGCAATGTTCTATGTAATCTGAAATTGCTGGGGATGCCGGCAATTTTGCTTCAGCTTTCTCGGGGATGTTCGGGGTCACAACGTCGCAGATGGGAATGCAGTCTATTCTCGAGCGCAGACACTGGCAGCCGCAGGAGCAGAGGGCAGTTCTGGCAGAACACGATGCGAGGTGCTGGTTCATTTCTGCTCAGCAGCCGTCTCGCAAGTGAGGAATAGTTAGGCAGTGGGCGTATCGCACAAGCAGCACGTTGGGCAGGCAGCAGAACGCACAGAAACTCTTCAGTCAGCTGGAGAAGTCTGCGCAGGACTTGCAAGGATATCAGTTCTAAAGCCAATGGTGCAATGGAAGCTTCCTGACCCCCGCCCCGTAGAAACCAGGAAAAGCCTTGTTCCTGTGGTCGGAGCTGAAGGATGTCCAGCCCCTCCTACAGAGGAAGCTTGCGGACCTTGACGCAAGGCAAAGGTTCAGGGCCTTGAGTTTTCACTCTTTACGGGTACCTTTCCGACAGAGAACTGACTCATGCGTCTGACACGCATTGAAATTCCACAGTGTGCCGACAGCTTCTCACCAGGCAAGCTGCGCAGTAATTACACAGCGACATCCTGCCAACCGAATCGCCCATTGATGGCCCACCTCCACCACGCCGCTTGAAGGCTGGAGCAGCAAGGTCAAGAAGCAGTGCAGCTGGGTCGTCTGCACAGGGAGTTGAAGACCCAACTGGAATCGCAGAAGGACTGGGTTTTTCGAAAGCACTAGCGACAAGTGTGCAGAGGCCGCAAGAGAACAGCAGCCATATCTCGCACAATCCGAGTCTGAGGCCTTTTGCTCAGTCGGAGTGTGGCGCTTCCACCCCGATGTAGCAAGTGCTGTTGATTTCGGAGGAGTGGACACAGGAAGCTTGAACGTGAAGGTATGTGGGGTTTTGCGTGAACTTCGTGCATGATGTGCGGGATGAGGAAGTAGGTCACACGCTGAGTAAAGCGAGGGCATTCAGTGGCCCACGGCAAGTGCAGCAAGTGACATGCAGCTGGGGCGTCTTGCAGGACGTGTTGGAGATCAGATGCTTGGAAAAGCTTGAGGCCCAAGGCAAGCGAATGGAAGAGGCTCGTCAGAGGTTATGTTGGTATTAGATTGCGCTCCATGTTTGTGTACAATTGCAATGCTGTGAGATGTTCTGGCAGGTCAGCCATCGTCTTGAGCAGCTGGAGGACACGTCCCGCAGCACAGTGCACCAGGTCAAGCAGGCAGCGGTGCGGCCTCAAGCATCAGCAGGGATCCTTGCAATCTGTTGCGCTTGCTATATACTGTGCTGGTAGTTGTGTTTGCATGCTTGCTTCTGTGCGTACCCTTGCTACGACGACGATCTCGCCCTACTAAGACGGCTGCTACCGTCATTTTTCCCCCACTACTGGTTGTAGATCCGGGGATCCCTTTTGCAGCAGGTGGGGGACTTGGAGAAGAGGACAGATCGCCTGGAAGATTGGGAGAAGCAGCTTGGTGGCGAAGGGGATGAGATGTTCGACGATCGGTGTGTTCAACGAATTTTACAATTTACAAATCTGTGTACAGGAAACACAAATGAATGAAGCCCACACCTCATTGTCAGGATCGGAGAGTTCTGCTTCAACTCAGAAACCAATAGTGGGTCAGGCACACGGACGTGGCATCAAGTGGTTGTCATTAGTGGTCGCACCGGCTAACAGACAGAGGTTTTTGCAGAAGAGGCCGCGAGTGCACACATTCTAAACAATTGAAGCCTGCTTTGCTGCACTGGAGGCGAGCGCAGCGTGTGGAGCAGCAGCTGACCGAGATAACAGAACTGCTCAGCGCCAGTGATGCCGCTGGGACCGCGATGAATTGGGTAAGCTTGGCTCGGGTTTGAAAGCTCCCTTCCCGGTGCTGAATATGCATGTTAGATCTGAGTATGTCAGCCGGTTTGATGTGGTCGAGTCGCTTCGCGAATTGGTGGAGATTTCCGGCGAATTTCGCTTCAATGGGATGCTGGACACTTTCTGATCTTGCAATCTGATCACAGAACGCCAAGAATGTACCTACCGACCATGATTTCATGGGTTCCGTTGCGAAAGGCTTACTGTAGCAGGACCCTGGACCATCGAACCGCCCAGGCCAAGCTTGGCCAGCAGAGCAGGGAGTTGAGGCGTGAGCTGCTGCAGATGAGCGAGAAGCAGGAGCAGCTGGAGCAGCGCCAGGCAACTTATCATAGGTTTCGGGCGTTGAGTTACGGCGAGTGTGCTGCAGTGATTAGCCTCCAAATGGCGCAGGGTGATCAAGAGCAGAAGAGCCACGTGGTACACCAGGCCGGCTGCAAGTGAGGCATTGCATTGGATCGACCTGGGTCTGGGTGGTGTTGGACCTCGGAACCGCGAGACTAAGACTTGTGGAGTCCGGCCTCCGGGCTTCTCGCTCCAGTGCCTTTGTTGAGCTTGGGCCTTCGTGTCAGGACCTGGAGCAGTTGAAGGAGTCGCATGGACTGCCGCGAGCTTGGCAGCCCACTTGTACCGTGTGGGTCTTTTGGGGCATTTTTGTCTGGTTGCGAGTCCGAGAGTGCCTTGTAGTCCAGTTTTAGCACCGGTTGTTCTCGCGGCCACCAGGTCCGAATGCTGCCCAAACAATCTTGAGCTTTTCTGACTTCCGAGTTAGGGATCGAATTTCGGGTTTCGACGTTGCAGTGGCACTTGCCGACACCTTGGAGTTCTTCAGCACAATTTTGATTTGTGATCGAGATTGTTTGCCGAACGAAAGAGACCCGGCAGACGTGCAAGCTATGCAAGGCTGACTAGCAGCTGCAATAGCACCAAAGCCGAGATCACAAAGCAGGCCAAGACTTTGGGCCAGGCCTGGTCCTTGCCACTGCGGATATCTATGCTGGGACCGTGGGTATCGCAGGTTGACATGCAGGGCAGCGAGAGCGTTGCGCAACTCGTCAGCAAGCTGCGCAGTCGCCGCATGCGCATTCTGGACACCACGGCAGCCGGATTTCGCCAGGCAACGCACCCAGCGAGTGGAGGCCTCCATCGCGAGCCTCACCCCTCGCGTCTCTTTCGTGGAGGCCAGGCCCCGGATGAGCTCTAAGCCGCTTGCTTTGCTTGATGCCATCGGCAGGAGACGGTGAAGGACTTGATTCAAGAGTTAACCGCGAGGTTGGGATCATACCTGTAGCGGTGCCTGGATATATCGCCGGCAAGCTGGCCACGTTTCTCAGAGCCTTCTGCGGCACCTGTGGCCAGGCTCCGTGGTCTCGACGGTACACTTGGAGCGATGGAGTCAGTTCCCGAGTCCTCTATCTCGGAGGGAGGGTCAAGGAGAGATGACCGCAGGGAAGGCAAAGTTTTCTGCTGATCAGGCCTCGCCTGAGCGCCGTAGAGTCTCAAATGCCGAGGCCTTCCGAGTTCCAAGTCTAACGCGGTCAGTCTCGTTGAGTGGACCCGGTCCGCACGATGTCTCTCTGCGAGGCTACAGGACGTCCTGAAGACCGTGGCCATCTTGCAAGCAGATCTGAAGACAGGCGATGAGCAACGCACTCAGCGACTGCAGTCAGGGCTGGCAATGGTCTTGCATTCTGCTCAGCATGCCTCTCCAAGGACGTCTGCTGCTCGCTTCGATCGCATTGAAGCCACTGTGGCCAAGCTGTCAGCTGATGGAGAAAAGTCGACGGAGTTCACCGAGAGGATGCGTGGCTGGGTCGAGAAGATGGACGACAAGACCCAGCGCTTGGGGTCCACGATAGCCAAGTTGGAGGACAGCCGAGTCAGTACAGAGGCACTCGTGGCGAGAAGCGAAGTCGACTTCGCGGGTGTTCGCGACCAGCTGGAAAACGCGACGACCCGAGTGGCCAACTTCGAGTTTCGCCTCACAGCTTTTGACGTGCGCCTCTGCACCGTGGAGCCTCTCTCAGACATGAACGTGAAGTTGTGCAGCATGGAGCCTCGAGTTGCGAAGTTGGAGCAGTTGGAGGTCGGCGTTTCACGGCTGGAGCCGGCCGTCCAAGAGCTTGCGGCCCGCTTCAGCGGCTGCGAAGCTCGGGCATCGAGCCTGGAGAGCTCTGTCCAGAAGCTTGCGCAAAGCAGCGACAACCACCGCGCCGACCAGAAGGCCCTTGCACACCAAGTCGACGACCAGCAGCTCATGCTGGAGGATGCGAAGACGGAAACCGCTGCATGCAAGGAAGAGGCCAAGAAGCTGAAATCTCAGGCCGATGCCATGCAGAGGGGCCTGGAACAGACAGGCAAGACGCAACAGAACCTGCAGTCTGACCTCACGGAGCTGCAGCAGAACTTGGAGCAAGTGCAGCAACGTCTCAAGACAGATCTTCGTGGAAACGAAGACAGACTCATCGAGAGCATGCAGGAAGTGGATTCCCAAGTTACACGCCGCCTGGAAGACACCCGAACAACGATCGACAAGCAGAGTCGTGCCTTAACTCTGCTCCAGCACGGCAGCAAGGATCTGGAGCGAGCCATGGAAGGCCTGAAGCGGCAGGCAGGGCCCCGAAGCCCCGAAGGCTGCCCGGCTACCCCCAAATTAAGGCAAAACAGATGCGAACTCCCTGAGGTCGAGGACGAGAAGGGAGCAGCGAGTGCCCGGGTTGAGTCGGCACCAAGCAGCTTTGTAGGTCGTACATAGGTCGTACTGGATGTAGATGACGAGAATTCGGCTCTGAAGGGGGGACTTGGATTTTGGGCTCATTGCCAAGGCCAGGCAGCGGCCGCGGCACAGCGAGCGGCAGAGGAGGCGGCCGAGGCGGCCAACGCCACTTGCGAGGCTTCCAAGGCGCTGATGTCGGAGCACTCCGAGCGACAGGGCTCCTTGGCCCAAGACTTCCAGAAATGGAGCCACCAGGCCCAGGAGGAGGCGGCGGCGAGGGTCTTGCAGGCGCACGAGGCTGCCATCACCGACATGCTGAAAACCATGGACCGGCATCGATGGCAGACGAAGGAGGATGCCCTGAAGACTCGAGAGGAACTGATGACGGTCATGAAGAGCAACACGAAGGTGCCGGATGCAGAAACCGCCTGAAACACCTATTTCACTGGCATGCTTGTGGATCGCAAACCAGGGTCACGAGAAAGCAGAACGCACAACATTTGCAGCCCCACCCATGGAGTATGGTTTATCGTAGACTCAAGCGGTCAAGCCTGCATGAGCAGAAGACTTCGCAGCTTTCTCTTCGAGAGTGCTGTCCAGGTCTTCGACGGCAAAGTTGCAGAGATCAGGCCTCGACAAACCGTTGGACTTGCAGCGATTTGCGTAGTCATGCAAGTGTGATTGCTGCTGCGGCTGCTCTACCAAGGAAAGTTTTGTTCTTCCGGCTTGTCCCAGGTTCTCTTCTTGTGATTTCGAGGGCCTGTTGGGGACCCCCATATCAGATCACATCCAAATCCTTCCATGCAACGTCCTGCAGTAAAGACCAGCTCCTCAAGCATAACGATTCTGCTTTCAGGGGACGCCTGCAGCTACTTGCTGCGGAAGCCGGCCGCTCTTTGGGAGACTTGAACCTGGACGTGGAACGTCTCCGACGGGGGGACTCCAGCCTCTTCCAGGAGAGCACTGTGGAAAGCCCCTCACAAGGAGCCTCAGGAGGGTCTCTTCCGGGTCTCAGAGAGCTTCGGCACGCTGTCTCGGATGAAATTCGCCGACGAGACCATGAGCCTCAGCGCATCAGCGAGAGGCTAAAAGAGTACACCGAGGACAGCACGATACCAGGGCCCAGTCGTTTGTCTCAGTTCCAGGAGGAGAGCCAAAGCCAAACCAACAAGGCCTCGCCCATGGCCTTCACGGTGCTGGATGGTCTGCGTGGCTGTGAGGCAGCGATCTCGGCTATGGACAGGCGAGTGACGAAACTGGAAGACTGCGTTGAAGACCGCTTATATGACATGGTTCGCTTCGATGTGGGCAAGCACGCAGCAATGCAGCAAGGCCATCTCTATGAGATGGGCCAGAAGATGGACAAGTTGGTGCATACTTTGCATACGCCCTCTGGACACGAGAACGCGACCACTGCCCAGCTTTCTGCAGGTGCAGGGCCCCTGGGCAGTCGAGAAAGCTGGCGACAGCAATTTCGCTCTGCTCTGAGTGACTCGACGTACGTCCAGCGAGCTCTGAAAACAAACCGGCGCACGAGTGGCGAGGACCCTCAAGGGTGATGAATCGTGGATCAGGCCCAGATTGTAGGATGGCTGCATTGATGTCGCACGAGGCGTCGCTGCCTCAGTGCCTGGCAAGCCGCTCTCACCGGCTTCGTTTGTGGTGTTATTGTTATTGTTAATTATTGTTATTGTTGACGAGACAAAGAGCTCATCAAGGTTGAAAATAGGGGCTAGGAGCAAGGCTGTGCACTTCGGGTGCTGCCTGCAATGATTTGATTCGTGAACACAGGAGTAATCGCTCGAACTCTTGGATAAGAACACTTGCTCCTGCCTCGAATGTACTACATTATGCAGCTCATGAACGAAACTCGTTCAGAATGACAGCTATTGGACTTGGGCGTGAAATTTGTGCCCGGCTCCATCGCTAAGCCAATGCCCAAAACTACTCATGTCGAGGACATGCAGTAGTCCTCACATGTTGCAAATGCAGCTTGTATATCTTGTCCAAAAGAGCAGGTGTGTCGGTTGAATCCTTCGTTATGTTTCAACCCCTTTAATCTAAATTCCTGAGGCATTGTGACAAAAGTCGGTCGGCGACTTCGACACACCAAACATCCGAGCCATCGAAGGGGCATCCTGATGCGAAATGCAAAGCAGCGATCAGTCTGGACAGGGTGCGGAAAAGGTTTTGGAGATTGTTTTCGAGATTTTGGGACGATGCTAGTCGTCCTGTTTGCACTCTTGTGCCCTGAACGTCGTGTGCACAGCTTCGTGTGCCGGTGGCAATGGCTTCGCAAGTTGCGGGAGAGCTCGCATGCTGCAGCTAGTTACCGAGTGTCACATGTCACTGGCCGCCATGATAAGCAATGCAGTCAGGATTTCAAGCCAATTCACGTGCGCTTGCCACCGCCTGATGCTTCAACCGGCCATGAAAGAGTTGGCTTGGAGAGGCAGGGGGAGGGGATGAACCCTGGACTTGCCGGCGCCTTCCGTCGCTGAGCAGGCGTAGTATGTAGTGACATCTTTCGCTTGACCTCGTGCTCAGCTTCGGGCATGTCTCCGGGGGGAAAGACCGTGTGCGCACACTGCACTTGGGGTGCGATGAGTGCCTGTTGCCCCGGACCGCTGGGCCGAATTATTGGCGTCTTGCCATGTATCGCAAACTGGCAACCAACAGGAATCAAGCAGCAGACGCTGTTGATTTCTGCAGACGTCAACTCCAAGGGTTCAGCCCTCAAGCCCTTGCGAGAGCCAGGACGGCCAAGAGTCTAGATTCCAGAACTTCTCGATTCGCCTGAGATCTGAATCCGGAATCGAGAAGCTTGCAGAGAGGTAGCTACAGATGGCTCTTTTGGTCGCGGGTACAGCGACTCATTGACCCTTGCAATGATTCAGGCCGGCATCATGCAAGGGCCAAAGCCGCCTTCAGGCCACCCTTGCGGCAGCTTCCCATGTCCACAGTTTTCTGCAGCACGGTGGCGCTTTTCCAGAGCATGCCAGGGCTTCATTTCTACAGGCTTTCGGTTTTGTCACAAGTAATTAGCATGTCGCAGAGGGCTCTTTCAGACGACGCTTGGCACAAGCGACAGGTGGACGTTGGCTTCGCTTCTTTTCATCCTGGGATACAGCGGTGACAGGCAATCACCCCGAGCTGTCTTGTTAGGAGTTGTGCCGTGGGCTTGCAGCTTCTGCGTGCCTGACAGATCTCCGTGAGATTTCTGAGATACAGGTGTAAACGCATATCCTAGTCCCAGTGGCCCGGCATGGGTGCATGACCTTAGCACTCGACCATGGAGCCGTGGAGGCCAGCCGCCTGCCTTGTCTGCCTTGCCGCTTCGGCAGTGCGATGCCCAGATGACCCCTTGACCAGAGCAAGAGTATGTTGTGACATGTAGTGACGCCTCATAGCCGCTGTAGCCACTGGCAAGCTGCGTCAAGTCCTGCAACACAAGTTTCGAGCGCTCACAGCATGTTAGTCGCAGATGAAGTCGTCCGCGAATGACCGGCAGTGAAATCTTGCAGATCACGCGCAGCAGATCCACTATCGAAGTCTGGCTGTTGGTTTTGCTTTGCGGCTGGGAAATGAGCCGTGGCGACATTTCGGCAAGCGGCAAGCGATGCGGTGTGGGGAGCCTTGTTGAGACGGAAGCTATATAGAATCAGCTAATCATGTAAATGCAATGGGCTACCGCGTGAGACCGTGCGCCACCCCAAGAGCATCTAAGGCTGGCGTGCCAGCTGGCAATCAAGCCCGGCTTCCCTCGGCCACGGCTGCCGTGGCCGAGGGCTTGCACAAGGTGGCTCGCGGCTCGCAGCGCCCGTCGCGCACAGATCCCTGCGCTCCTTGAAATCAGGTTCAGTCCTGCATAGCGGAAGCAGCCGGCGGCCGTGATGTGCGGTTGGTGGCCGTGTCGAAGTTTAAGGCCGCAGAAGCAGTGCAAGCAGCAGTGGACTTGGGACAGGCCGGGCAAGAATGTGACTCATGTAGTTTCTTCCATGGAATCTCCCCTGAGAGCTGAGCTTGGCCTGCAGGTGGATTTCGGAGAGAATTATGTGCAGGAGTTGCTGGAGAAAGCCTCCGCTCTGCCCTCCAACGTCAGGCCCACGTTCTACCTGGGATACGACTAGCTTTGTTCTGTTCTGTTCGTTCTCAGGTGGCATTTCATTGGACGTCTGCAGTCCAACAAGGCAGCGTGAGGCTATTCGCTCTGGTTATGGTGCAGTCGGCCGTAGCAGCACCAGCCGCGATCAGGTGAAGAAGCTGCTTAGCATCCCCAATCTGGTAGCAATTGAAACAGTGGACTCGTCGTCGCTCGCAGACAGGAGACTGGTGCAGAGATTCGCTAGTGAGCGACTATGTAGCCTTCTTGTCGGCAGGATAGCTTCTGCTGCACAAGCTGCTGGAAGGGGAATGCGCGGCATTGATCCTCTGGACTTGTTCATTCAGGCCGGAAAGGCTCTGAGGAGGGCCTCCTTCATTGCTGCTGCGATGACCCTAACTTCCGTGAAGATCAAGGATTTCTGCGACAATAAACATGCTGATGACGATTGCGATTGCGTGGGTCATAGTGATATGGCGATTATAGAGGTGATAGTGACAATTATCGTTGTTGTAGCCCTCGTCTTCTCTGTACGGGCTGGACTACCTGCTGAGAACTCTGCAAGAGGAACGCGGCTTTTTGTCAGGTCGACACCAGCAATGAGGAAACGAAAGGCCTGGTGCATGGATTTGATGTTTGAGCTGAGCGTTCATGGATCGCCCGTGCCTCTCTCTCTTCTCGCACTTCTCTCTATTCTCTCTCTTCTCCTCTCTCTCTCTCTATCTCTCTCTCTGGGTCTCGGTCTCGGTCTCTTTCTCTTCTCCCGAGAAAAATGAATGGAGTAATTTGGCTGAGAAAGCACGTGTACAAGTGCGTGTGTCGCTCTGTGTGTATGCATGCATGCATGCATGAATGTATGGACGAAGGTATGTATGTATGTAGGTAGGTATGTATGTATGGTTGCATATATATGTATATGTATATGTATATGCATATGCATATGCATATGCATATGTATATGTATATGTATATGTATTTACATGTATGTACGTATGCAACATGGATGGATAGATGGATGGCTGGATGGATGCGTGCATATGTAAATATATGTATATAGCTATGTATACATGTATGTAGGTCTATCTGATATATATATATATATGTATATTTGTACGTGTATATGCATATATGTATTATATGCACGTATGTATTTACATATATGTGTACATATGTATGTGTGTCTCCTTAGGAGCAGTTTGCATACAGCAAGTAAACTGCAACGAATATTTGCATATATGTTTTTTCCATATATATATATATATATGCTCACCCCCCCCCCCCGGTGACAGACCACGGGTCTAAAAAACACCGTGCACAACGATATTCTGTGAAGCAAAACCGTTAAATGAGGTATATAGTATAGCACCAGACGTGCGGCACATGAGTTACGTAATAGTCTTGTGGTAGTATCGGTATTAGGGTGAGTATTGTTATTAATATTAGTACTATTGCTTGCTGTAAGTATACGTATCAATATTGCCAACTATAAATTAGTGTTAGTGCTCATGTTCGTGTTAGAGTTAGCGCTAGTGACAGTGTCAATGTCAGTAATACAGCACCACTGCTACGAGTAGTATCAGTATCAGTCTTAATGCTGGGTTTAACAGCAGCTTATATTCGCAGAAGTGCTAGTATTAGTATCAATATTAGAACTAGTTAGTTTTGATATGTTATTATATTGATAGTCTCGTATATTAGCAGATTAGTATATCAATACATCAATGTATTCGGACAGCAAAATATTTGCATACTTGTATACTAGTATATTTTACATGTTAGTACAACTGGTGCATGACTACACTACTATACTGCTGTATTAGCTTACTAGTATATTGACATACCATTATATTCGTACGTTAGCATATTAGTGTACGAATATGTGTACTATATTACTGTTTTATCTAATCATGTATAAGTATATCAGTATGTTGGCATATTAGTATACGAACTTGTCATGTCGGTATTCTTGCATAGTGCAGTAGCCGTATATGATTATAGTCACATATTCGTATAGTATATTCATACAACAACGAGAAGTATATTGATACATTGGTATATGGGTATATTCCTATGCCAAAGCATTAATACATGAATGCACTGATGTATATATCTGTATCTTAAGATAGTGGTACGTATTTTATGTACATGAGTATATGCAGGTGTTTATTAGTAATGGTATTAGTTTTCATATCAATATGAATATACTATTGGTATTCGTAGGAGTATTAATGTCAATACTAGTAGAAGTAGGACTATTTATACTCGTAATAGCCATAATATGAGTGTTCATGCTGGTAATACTAGTGGCATTCTTGAATCTGCAGCAGATTATCAAAGTCCGTATTAGTGTTGGTGATAGCACTACTGTTAACGCACAAGGGTTTACGTATTCGTATTCGTAGGAGTATAAATAGCTATGTAAATATTGATGTTAGTATAGATTTTGTGTTAAGTATTAGCAGTAGTGTTAGCGTTAGTACTATCATATTATTGATGATATACATTCGAAAGAATGTTTGTATTGTTATTACTCTTGACCACGTGAAATTCTAACAGTTGAATTTATGAGTGAGTTAAAGGATTTGTATTTTAATATGGTGGTATGCATGTTTATGTACATTAGTACATACAGGTGTGTGTTAGTATTGGTATTATTATACATTATTATCAATATGAATATGGTTATTGATATGCGTAGGAGTACTAAGAGCAATACTAATCAATCTTAGTATTTGTGTTATGCATATTCGTACTAAGCTTTATAGAAGTGTAATATTAGTAGAAAAGCTGGTATTAGCTTGAGCATTCAACAAATGATCAATGTCAGTATGTTCAATAGCAATACTATATGTAGGAGTATCAATACATATATGTATATATAGATATACAGATAGATAGAGAGATATTCGTGTAAATATGGGCATGAGTATTGACAGCCCTTGCCTTTGCAAGTAATCTGGTCCGATGCGGAGACTAGCACAACAAGGCGCGCGGGTGTCCTACCAAGAAAGGAATTACAGAGCACACGTGTATGGATGAGGGTTGTGCTGATACACTACATAGTAAGCACTACACAGTAATCTTACTTGAGTCATATATAGAACAGATTCCAGCATTTCCAAAATTTCCAAAATTTCCAAAATTCTCCCCCCTAACTTTCCGCATTTCCAAAATTTCCAAAATTTCCAAAATTTCCAAAATTTCCAAAATTTCCAAAATTTCCAAAATTTCCAAAATTTCCAAAATTTCCAAAATTTCCAAACTTTCCAAAATTTCCCGACCTAGTCGACATGATTTTTCCAAAACATAAGGGCGGACTTTTTGGAAATTTTGGAAATTTTGGAAATTTCGGAAATTTTGGAAATTTTGGAAATTTTGGAAATTTTGGAAATCCGGAAAGTTAGGGGAGAGAATTTTGGAAATTTTGGAATTGAGGCTTTGAAAGCTGAGTGCCCCCTCCCCCCGATCACAGACCATGCACTACGACTGAGTCGAAAGGGCATGGTCTGTCATGGGGGGGGGGTGACCATATATATATATATATATATATATATATATATATTTGGCCACACATATATGTTTATGTAAATCAATCAACACACACATTTTATACATGTATATATGTATGTATGTATGTATGACTGTATGAATGTATGAAGGCATGGACGTATGTATGTATAGATATATGTATGTATGTATGTCAGTATGTACATATTCATTCAGTCTTTGATTTCTTTGATGTTGTATGTGCTTTTGTAGACAAAATTATGCAAACCGAGGTGCACGTATTTACACTTTTTGTATGAGCTGTATACATCCGTAGATAGGTTGTATATGTATATGCACGATATGGAAACATGCATTTATCTAGAAGCACGCAGAGAACTCCGCAGATGATGTGCAGGCTCATTGCATGTAACTTGCTTGAACCAGAGAAGGTTTTTCAGGGTTGAGGGTGGGTAGAGTTGGTAGATGTCCGTGACAGATAGCTCGCAGGGCCATTACCACAGCGCCGGATATCCTGAACTCCACCTACGATCCTTTTACTTGGGGGCCAGCATCGTTCAATAACATGAAGAGCAGCTTCTATGCCGACGGTGGTGTGTGGACCCAGGTGGCGGTGGGCCCGGACGATGGTGGCGGGGCCGTTTGGAATACAAGTGCTCGTTTCTTTCAAACTTGACCTGGCGGAAAGTCTGTGTCCCAAGTGCCTGCAAATGTCAGAGCCGCTTGGAGGAGCATCGTTTGGCTCCGAAAGTGCGTCATGTCGACACACAAGCTCTTGTTAAGCTGCAGCAGGCTTTGAAGCCTGCCACGATAAAGCTGGCAGCTTTCTTAGGACGAAGGCCGCTTGCCCTGGAATCGTAAACCGTCAAACCATTTTATCTGCCTGGGATCTTGTTTGTAATACTCTGTACCCACCGGCCAGGCCTCGCAACTCTGATAAGTGAGCGGCAGGTCCGTAGTGGCACTCAGGCACTGAGGTCCCCAGGTTCCAGGTTCAACTTGCACTACAACATAATTCCAAAACAAGTCTTGTCAAGTCCTCTTCGGCTTGGGCATCGGGAAAGTGCAAGTTTCACCCTGTTTTGATGCAGTTGCCACACAGCACCGAAACTGCCGACACCTTAGACTCCTGCTTTGCCTCAAACAGCAAGTGTGGCTGAAGTGCAGCGCAAAGCTTGCGGCTTCGGGTGGAAAGCTGTAAGTGGTTGCAAGCTGATGGTCTACAGCTTCAAAGTTGAAGGTCTAGCTCACTCAAGATGTAGGGTTTCTGGCAGAGACTAAATGCCATTGCTGCGCAAGGTGACACAGCAGCGCAAGGTCTGTCGAGTTAGGCAACTTGAGTTTCCCAAGCGCCAAGTTTCACTGGGGCGCAAACGCTGCTGACTTGTTCGGAAAAGCTTCAAACTTTAAAACTTTTCGCAGGGACTGACGGTTCAACGCAGTAATGCTTGTGCATATATATGCATATGAGTATGTGTGCAAAAGTAGTACTGCCGCTACTACAATTACAATTATTATTATTATTACTACTCCAATTACAGTTATTATTGTTATCACTAATTACTGCTTCTGCCACTGCTGGTAAATCGGGAGGCAGACGCTGTGGATGTGCCGGGCACTTTTCGATTTCTTTTTTTAGACTAATTACGAGGGCCACCAATCGAGTGGCGAAACTTGGCGAAACTAGAGCTTCCGGACAATCGATGCGGGTTGCTCGCCTCTGCCCCCTCGCAGACATCGGATCTCGGTGCGCGAACTGATGATGATGATACTACGACTGCTACCATTGCTACTCCTGCACTGCTGCTGCTGCTACTACTACTACTACTACTACTACTACTACTAAGCCCCTTGGCTCCGCCAGGTTGAGAAAGAGAGATGTTGTCGAAACAGCGGGACCCTGCCACCCCCAACAGTAACGGGTGCACTAGAAGGTCTGAGTGCCTCAACCTCAACACGGCTGTAGGCTGCATGATGGCTGCGCTTCTTGCCTGTCTGTTCCCACTTGCCCCACCATGGCAACAGGGCTCAAACTTTGTGCTACAGAGTCCCAATTGGACAGCCTCCAGTCCGTGTGCTTGGTCCGGCACTCAGCATCTGCAGCTCC